CAAGATGACGTTTTAGCATGTTTAAAACTTATACAACTGAAAAAAGCCTTCTTTTCAGATCTTTTCAAATGCTGAGTAATGTACTTCTTTACCCGATTTATGCTGCTTTACCATTCCTTGCTCAGCTAATCAACTCAGTAAAGCAGCGGCTATATTTAAGGCCACGCATGTCAGTCAGGAATAAATGCCATCATGTTGCAAACCCAAACATTCCACATACACATTGAAACCTGTTTGTATGATGACAAAGGCACGTTCACAATGTAAGGTTGCACCCTCCACCTTGCGGCACACTTTGAACAAGCAAACCCATGCTGTGAGCAACAAAGACAGCCAGCTCGTGACTCCCCCTGTACTGCAGCCCCTTAAACAAACTCATTTTTCAAACCACAATCTTTGGACAACCAACAAATCAACACCAATGGAGGCTGAAACCCTTCCTCCTGCACACAAAAATTGACTGGAATATTGAGATAAGCAAGCAGTGGTACAGTCCTCAAAACAGAACTGGATTGCCCAGCTGTAGCAAAGCCACAGAGGCTGCAAGGCACCTTGCTGACAAAATTTGTAATGAAGTTATCTTGGAAACTGAAAGCAAGGGGCACAAGATCTGAATCCCATACCAACTCAAAGAGCCCATGCTTAGAGCACGCTCAAAACAGATGTAAAAACAGCCTGCGCTCATACAGGACCAGTGGCTTCTGCTTGTTTGTTTTTAATCCTCTAGTTCTCCAGTTGGTTCTTATCCCTCCTTTTTCAATGTACTGAAAGTTAAGAGGTGTTACTGAAGATTTGTGTTTCTGATCTTCAAGCTTCCAGAAAGCTGCTCTGACATTCAGAGCGAGCAGGCAGCATTGATCAGCTTCAATCAAGCACAGATGCATCATATTTGTAGCATTCTTTCAATCCAACGGACGTGGAAGACACAGCCAAAGGTGTTAACAGTCCTGTTCCATTCTCACACCTGCAGCTATCTCCCAGGCAGGCAGCTCATTAAAATGAGGATGCACTAAACGCAAACAGATGTGCAGTGATTACTAATAGTGCCTACACCACCACACACGTCAGCAGCTGTCATGGACTGCCACAGATACAGCCATATCACAGACTCAGAGCATGTTTACAGCTTTTCTTTTTTGGTAATAATTTTTCTTTAATGTCCATGCAGTCGTGTAACGGTACAAAGGGACAAAACACGTTTGCTACACTCCTCGTTCCCAGACATCTTCACACAACACCTGCAGCCACACAATATCCAGTGCTTTTTACACAGAAAGCAGCTCACGGTCCTAGATATGGTCCACAGATGGACCCTGTGGTGGTAACCACAATTACTTGTAAGAAAGGATCACTGCATAACGCCTTCAAGATGGATAAGCATGAGGGAAATTGCTATTTTCAGGCAGATTGACTTAATTCTGCCTTCTATATCCTACTCCCCTTTCATATTACTGACAGTAAGAATCCATGCATATTTCCACGTTTAAATAAAACCTCTGAAAAGGAACATTTCATTGCTCTAGCAATGAAACTGGAAGCCTCAAGGTTTCCCCACAATAATATGCATTAATGGAGATTTGCAGCCAAACAAACTGGCTTTTTTTTTTTTTTTTTCCCCTGATGGAATTGTCGCTTTCACAGAAACAAAGCAGAATTTCAAGTCCACCTTTGCACCCAAATTATTGCTTCCTATACCTGTGACAATAAAAAGGAAGAGAATAAAACCCCTAAGTCTTTAGGCAGCTTATTGAATACCTAACTTCAAGATTTCTCTTCTGTGCTTTCAACCTTAAAAGCAGCCTTCATCTAACTTAAAAAGACATTGATAACACATTGTATTCACACACCAAGCAGATTTGCTGCTGCTGGCTAGAAGCATCTTAGAATAATAGAATCCTTAGGGTTAAAAAAGATCTCTAAGGTCATCAAAAGTCCAACTGTTAAGCCATCACCAACACGTCCACTGAAAGGGCATCTTGAAAGGAGGTGGGGGGAAAATAAACACCTGTTTTCAGGGTGAAATAGAAGACTTGAAATGAGCCAAACTAGCTTATACGTAAATAGCAATCTGAAGACAGCAAGAGAGTATTAAAATAATAATACCCTTAGCAATGACTTATTGCAATTTTATTTGTGGGAAAAAATGGACACAAAGAAGAGAGCCACCTGGTTTGATGTCTTTGTCATACCTTGTGCGGACTGCACCCCAGGAGGATGCTCACTGGCTGTGTGGAAGAGCTCAACAGCTCCTACTCCTGCCTAAAAACTCTTCAAAGAGACACTTTCCAATCCCATAACCTCCAAAGGAATTCAGAAATGCCTACATTTCCAATTATTACAACGGGCCAATGTTAGCTTCTCTCACAACAAAATACTTGGTTGGACTATGAGACAGCTGGCCCTACCACTTTCCCGCTGGTTTGTTCCAGTGCTTCATCATTGGCTCTATCAAAGATAAAAAGAATGATAAGCATCACCATGCTTCCAATCTATCTAGCTTTTATTTCCAACATAAAACCTTATTAAAAATTTCTCTGATGAGCTGGGAATCTGTTTAGTGCTCCTTAGTTCTTTTATTGCAAAGGTAATCTTGCATTTAATCAAAAAAGACAAGAAGATGGTGTTAACAGATGGTCTAAAGAAGTACAGCCTGAGCTTTATATGCTCCCTGTTAGAAAGCTGGTTTTTTTCAGTCCTTTGTGATCTCTTGAGTGCTTTTTGTCTAATACCATTTTGAAGTGTGGATTCCATACTGATTTATTGCAAGTACAACATCTCCCCATGTAACTCCAAGAACTGGTGTCACTGGGTCACTCTCCTGGCTGCCCAGGCTAAGTATCCTCTCTGCTTCCTCCCTCTCCTCCTGGCTGTTTTTCCTCCCAGCATCATGAAGCATTATTCTTCCTTCACTTCAGATCCCCTTTAAGGTGAATCTGAAAAGGTACTCAACTTCTACAGCAGCCCTCACACAGCTTTAAAAGGCTCCTTCATCACACTTGTGGCCCTGCTTTCTGCTTCCTATGGCCCAGGAGGCTGGGTGGATGCAGCACAGTGGCAGCTCCTGCTCCCGACACAGGGAACGCAATTCAGCAGTGCTGTTCAATATTGGAAGGCCTGAAGTAGCCCGTGGCATGCTGTGCCACTCCTGTGTCCAAAACACCCTAACAACAACCCTAAAACAGGAGCCATCCACATTTACATCTCTTCTGCAGCCCACATCCCCACTAGGACTGGTGCATGAAGTCACCTGCCACCAGCTGGCACAGAGCTCTCAGTCCCCAGCTATGAGTGTTCCAAGCAGCAAGTGACAATGTGAAGAACAGCAGGGAATCCCACCCTTTCTATCTTCTTAGTCAATGATCCAAGTTACTTCAGCCTTGGTAAATCCTTGGAACAGACATATCCTAAAAAAACCAACCCTCTAAAACCCAGCATGTTAAGACAGCACATGGCAGAAGGTAAAATTAATCTTAAATTGATGTCTACATCATTAAGATAAGAAGACTCCCCCACATCTCTTTTCCAGAGTTGTAAGCAGGCAGAGCACCCCCACCAGATCCTTCCGGCTACCACAGGAGCCTCACGGAAAAGACAACGAGATGTGAAAAGCACATCAAAAAGAGTAAGAGACAACAAAGGAACAGAGCTTGTGCCCTCACCATGGCTTCCCAGAGCATCTCCAGAAACCTTCTATTTGTGTTTACTGGCACCTTCATGACTTGGTTTCTGAGAACTAACAGGGTCTTGACGTCACTTCTACTCCAGAACACGTTTATGCTGTTTAAACCATCACTGTGGAAAGGGATTATTTACTCTCCAGCTTTTGCTCATTAATGGCCACTATGAATCGATACAAAACTGCTTAATAAGCTCACACAAGTGCTTTTCCCTGTGAAGTCAGTGATCGACACAGACCAGCAGATACAAAAACAGACACATCAGCAAGTTCCTGCTTCAGCAGGTCCCACCTGAACAGTGACTGAGCTGCCACTGCTGCATCCAAGCCTTCTGCCTCCTACATGCCAAAAAAGCAATGGTTTTCTACCCAGGTCCAGTTATCTTGTTTTTAAGGGATTACCACGGAGTCCTTCACTAGTTTTACTCTCGCAATTTCTTTGCCTTTAAAATTAATGTTTTCCTCTATTTGGCTCAATTTCCGCTCTTCCAAAAGAAAAAAGAATCCAGCAAAAATAATTAGTTGAGGAACCATCAGTCTGTGAGAATGAGAAAGGGATCTGGAAAACCAGACCAGGGTGGGAGAGAATTCTGAATTGGGATTCTGGCTGTGTCCTCAACACTGTCATGCAGTCACACAAACAAGCACTGAACGCTGACACAGACACAGACACACACCATGGTACTGTTTGCCTGCTACGGAAAATAAGAGAGGACAAATGGGGCACCACTGAGTCTGGCTTCATTGCACTTCACTTCCACGGAATTCCTGAGATGGTATTTCCATGAGGCAAAGGGCCTTACAGATGCACAAGATTAGTACTGCACAGTGCAGGATATCAAGCAAGGGTCAGAACAACACTGAGCAGTGCCCTGTCTTGGCGCAGTACCTGCAATGCTTGTGCTAAGATAAAAGCTTGCTGCCAACAGGCCACTAGGCCACTAGCCCAGGCACTGCCTGCCTGAGGAAGATTCATGTTAAACATCAAAAAGCAGAAAATGTTAGCAATAATAAAAACTTAAGTCAGAGAACGTACGGTTAGTGGTATTAAGTATTGCTGCATGTTACTGTTAATGAGCAGTTTGCAATTTAAAAATATATATTTTAAAGTATATATATTGCGGCCCATATAGCTCCCAAAATTATTCCAAAAGACAATTTAAAAAAACCAACAAAACTGTTTTAGTACTTAATGAAAAGAGTTGGACATTTATACGAAGCAGCTATCTGAAGTAATTTAGTTTATGTCCTCCTCCAAATCTGAGTTCTGCAAAGGCTGTCAGACACATAGCAAAAGGAACGTTCTTCAAGGAGCGCCACTTACTCCACATGTCTCATTCTGTGATTGCATGGGATTTGCCTTTGGCTCCATGTCCTGCCTTTTTTGGTTCTGCTTCAGTTGGTTTAAAGAAGGCTTTGCCTGTGCAGCTCCAACAGTTTTGCTTGTCCACTGGTCAACCAGCTTGTGAAGATCATCGGTGAAGGTTCCCTTCTTGTTGTTACTGTTGTTGGCCTGAACCTGCAGAGTTGATTGCGGAAGGGGCTCGGGACACGTTACAAGACTGTTTGTAGAGGATCCTGGAAAATCACACACAAAGAAAGTTGACAATGGCGTCTCCATTTCACCACTTATCTGCTCACATAGCTTCCCACATACTGCAATTCAAACAGTGGCTTTCCTGACTTTGCCCTCCCCCTCCTTTCTACAGAACACCTTTGCTTAAAGAAATGGTCCAAGTCCACTGGTCCAAATGCGTTCAGATTATGTCTCATTGTGTTACCTGCCCAGAACTTCTCTCAACTGAAATTCACGACCAAGAGAGAAGGACTAGATGCACAGAGGCACCCCCAGTGCAACCGACACTGCCAGGCTTGCAAAGTCTCTCCGTAGAAGGCTGCCATGGGTACGTTACTTGCTGCAGCTTCATGTGTTTTAAAAATGTATTTCATTTGCATAAGTGTTCTGCCCTCCTGGAAAAATTTAATTAGCACACAGGTTAAGAGTACAGTTGGCCTCAATGTCTCAAAGGCTCCAGGACCCACAGGCTCCCTCTGCCATCTTGACATTTTGGGAGAAAAAAACATTATGTGAAGAAGAAAAAGGAGAAAGGAGGCCATAAGTGGGCATGTGAGTTTCTGACACAGAGATACAGAACTTCTGGGACAGATGAAGGCGGATGGGAAGAGCACTAACAGGAACTGAATTTTATAGGCTTGTATGCCTCTAGATCTGTCCTATTTATCTGTTGGTAACTACAAGTCTGACACAGCAAGACCGGCAGCAAACTGGAAGAAAGTTTCTATAAACAGATTTACTGTATCTAAATATTTTAAATAAGACCATCTCTCCAAGCAAAAAGTTCATGGAACTGCAGTAAAATTGTTACAGAAGCAAACACAAATATTCAGTTTTCCATTTTCTGTTAATGAGCTACCAGACAATGAAACTGAATAAACTAAGTATTCCTACGGTCATATAAAATACATTAATAGCCTTTAAATGATCATGCATTCAACCTGCAACACAACTTGTAAGTGAACACTGCTCATTTCCTTTTCCTTTTCTCGGGGGAAAGGGACCAGTGAGAAAATAAGTACTTGGACAGGAAAGCTCTTCAATTAGTGCTCAACATTTCATGCATCTCCACAGGAACAAGAGAGTTTTAAGCTATAAATTCCTCCAGCAAAAAACTGCAGTCATATAAAAGTGTGTATTTAAGGGAAACAAACACACACTCCAGTTTTCTGGCAGCATGCGTGCACAATCTCACACATAAAGAATACCACGACTGTCTTGCAGCATGCGTAGATCCCAAACATCACAGCACATGCATTATTAGGAAAGTATCACAACGTAGATAGTCTAATTTCATACCAGTATAAGTGCATCAGCTCTATTCATTAAACAACTAGCTTTTAGTAAAAAGAAAAAAGAAAACTCAAAGAAAAAGCATCCCATGCCATGAAGGAAATACTGAGAAACAAAAATGGGATAGTTACTACTACTGTGATCTTTGCCTAGACATAGTCGTTTCAAGGTGGACCCTACAAGGTAAAACAATACAAGACATACAGAATTAGGTAAGACTGAACATAACAAATCTGACGGACAAGCTTCTGTACTTTTAAGCAATCAGAGAGTAGTTATTATGCAAGAAAGGACAGACAAAGTCAGCAGTTCAGGTGAGTAAAGGAAGTCTAAGTAACTGGACAGCTCAAACCTTTATTAATGTGCAGCCATTCAGAAGCTTTGAGAGGTACAATAGCATGCCAAAAGCAAGGTCCCATGACTTAAAGATGCATTTTTTTGTTTGTTTCAAATTGCCTTGGCTTCCTAATAGGAGATTTTGATTCCTATTTATGCAGGAAATGATGTCAATTCAGTTTGTGATAGGAGGCCAAAAATGCTTTCAGGAACAAGTAACGCTAGTCTGGCTGCAAAGACAAACTGTACAATAACCCTGAAACATCCCGTTTTACAAGTCCAAAAAGATACATTGTTCTGCAGGTCTGAGGCCAATTTTCTCAATTATTTATTAGCATGATTTGTGTCTAAATGTGAGATTCTGAACGTTAATTAAAAATGAGTTTCCCTTCATCTCGTCCAAGTGCAGAAAAACAATCCAGCAGAGTAGCTGAGTTCTCATTTAACCAAACTACGTGTTTTTTCATTATTATCTTGTTAGAGCCTTCATTATTTTACATATTCTGTTGGACAGTTATCTACAGTGCCAGATGTGTACAGAGAACCCTATTTGACAGTTAGGTCTTGCCAGACATTGGCACCATTTCCATTAGAGTGCCAAATTTCCTGAAAGGTATTTTGGACTTGATAAGAAGAATATCGTTATGGTATGGGAGGAGATGAACATCTGATATGGGGCATGGTGAGTTCATCGTGAAGAAGCACTTGAACACATGAGTAAAATCAAAAGGCTGGGCAGAAAGCAAGATACAGAATGTATGTGCTTTTCTTTATGCTAAACTGGTGCCACTGTTTAATTTTACTGTGCCAGAAATGCAGCTTTAAACTCAGAGATTGCAGGTCCAGGTTGACATGGGCTCTGAATGAGTCTTCAAAGGAGAAAGGAGAGACATCACTCAGAGACTGGAGAAGAGAAAATAAAGAAGAGAGGGAGGAAAAAAGGGAGAAGAAATGTTTGTGTTCTGATATGGGTGGCATGAGGAGGAAAAGAACGATTGGTTTGAAAGAATTTTTTGTTATTTCCTACAGCTTAATGAAGTTTATATTTCAGGAAAATCAGGACATGACTACAGTAATGTCTTATGCAAGCATGACCAAAAGCTTAGTTTCTCAACTCAAAGCTTAGATGAAAAGTACAAGTCACAGTCACAACTGAACATCGTGTTGCATTTTTTTGGTAATTTTTTTCTCTTTTCCCTCATATATTTTACAACACCTATCTTTTAAAGTTAGCTAGCAACCCCCATTATAGCAACATCAGCGGTAGTAATATAATAATATAATGTTAATTTCTTAACTATCCTGCAGCATTCTGCATGTAGCAAAAGGTAGAAGTTGGCACAGTCTGTATGCAAATGAAAAATGCCTGCAAAAACTAAATGCAGGCAGCTGACTTCAGTACGTGCTCAAATGCATGTAAAAATGTTTAATCACCAGCCCCACTGCTTCCTGAGCACCAAGCCACGAGCTCTGTGCACCCCAGGTGCCAATGCAAACCTTCTGCTCCAAAACATGTGGGAAGTGACAGATAGCACTGATTCTAGACACGCACAAGGTACCCACGCTAAGGGAGCCTGCTTTAAGACAAGTACTACAAAAAGGTGAATCACCAAGAAGAGCTGTTTCTTCCCAAGTGCATCCCTGCAGCGCTGCCTGGGAGAGGGGAACATTACCTAGCAGGGACTGACGAAGACCAGCTAAGATTTGATTTAAATTCAAATTCAATTAAAAGTGCGCTTGGTAAACCTAATTCACCAGATTAATTGTATTACTTCCACAATAAAGGTGTTTAATAGCCGGAAAAGAAAAGGAGATGAACCCTAATTAATTGAGATTTAATCTCTGACTGTAAAAGTTAAGCTAAGTTAAGCTTTATTTCCAATTCCAGAGGTAACATCTGAAAAATTAAGAAGCTATTGTATCTTTCAGGACAGAAAAAAATCCACCGTCCCGTATTTGTGCTGTGACGGCTGTCAAAAAACATGAAAGCTAAAACAAAATTGAAATGGCAGTAAGTTGTTAGACCATTTCCATAATCCCATTCACATACAATATATTAATTACTACAGACCTGACGAGAATAGCTTTGCATGAGATTACAAGTCTTAGCCAAGTGGAGCTTTTGAAAATCCCACTCACAGTCAGTGCAAACTCCTCTCTAAGACGCCCTTGCAACTTAACCCATGGGAAAAGGTTGGGCTAAAATTATGCTGGAGACCATCAAAAATATTTTACTCCATGAGAAGTTGCAGAAAAAAGCAGTACTGGACAAGGGGACAGACCAGACAGCAGTGCTGGGTGAACCTGAAAGCGTTCAAGCTTGATGGGCTTTGTAGCCAGGCACAACTGTCTTTAAAGCATCTGAACACTACTTCACGGAAGCATGATGCTAATTTACTAATACAATACATCTGAGCTCCCCTCCCCAGACTGCTGTTATTCCTCAGTCAAATGTGTAGATGTAGAACATTCCTGAAAATGCAGCAACTCCTCCCAGCAACTCCTAAATAACAAAACAGCGTTGATTTGTGGGACAGATCCAGCTGAACTGCCAACTCTCACAGAACTACCTGCACCCAAGGGTTACAGATCAGACCCACATGCGCTTGCTCCCCGTGTTTCAAACCCACTCTTGGCGCTCCTGCATGCAGAGGTGCTCACACAGAGCACATGCAGGAGCTGCTGCAAACCCTCACGTCTCCTTTGCACTGGGCAGCCCACGTTCCTGACAGAGAAGAAGGGCCACGAGCCAGCTGGCCCTCTCCTTGCCATCATGGTCACTTTGCACTGTTCCCTGAGGCCCATGGCTGCTCTGGACACCCACTAGATGGAACCACCAGACACGTCTGCGGGCTCTGGCCACACAGCCCAGCTTCCTCACAGGTCCCCAGTTCGGTTCTGCTATGACTCACAAATGGGGGAGTGCAAATCTCTGAACACTTTGCCCAAAGAAACTGAGAAGAGAACATATGGGCTGAGAACAGAAAACCAATTTGTTGCGCTGCTGATTACTTTAAGTATTGGGAAGCTTCATAATTGGAAGAATTCACCTCAGTTTCATTCACAATATCCATGCACTCAAACTTCTTTAATACGCTGTTTGTGAACTGCCACCTCCCAGAGCTTTTGTATCCTCCTAAACAGTGGTTTTGTGAAAGTAAATGAAACCACTTTGAGATTTACATGTGCAGGAGAAGAAACTACTACATCCGTTATAATACCAGATGGCCAAAATCACATACTGAGATTTCTCTCAGGTACTAGGAAAAACCTTGAGGGCAAAACTGTTATTAAAAACTGGTACGAAAATAAAAGCAGTGTGCTAAGCAGTAAACATCAGTTTACAGAACCTGAATGCTTGGATTTAGGACCTCAAACAAAATCAAGATTATTCTTAAAAGTATTGTTTATTTGTAACATTAGGGGGAGTGTTTTTAAGTGGTCTTGTGCCTTTGATCTATACCACGTGGGTAATGATGAGCAACATCGCACTGCAATGGGAGACTTGGTATCAATGCAAACAAACAGTGGGTTAACCAAACATTTTCTCCTGAACATTATCAGCCTTCCTAATTTTATATGTAAGTGGCCTATAGTACCTGGTCAGCCCAACATATCTTTATTGTACAAGCAAAATCTGTTTGCCTAAAGGGCAGCAAATACTGCTAGGTAAAAAGGTTTGCACTTTTTAATTAAATAGCTTGATATCATTTGGTTGAATCGCCAATTACTTTAGAAGTTGTACAGATAAGGTATAAATAATAGGTGCACAATTATCTGAATTGAGAAATACTGGATCCTAACAATCCATTTCAGAGTATCATTTAATAATCTGATACTGCTTTTTACTGATTTCTGCTTTGATGAACTGCTAATTGACTTCATCTCAGAGGTCACATAAGGTCATAAGAAAATAAACTGAGCGCAGTGCTTCAGCCAGATCAGTTTACACACAAAGTCGATGGCACTCTCCTTTGGAGTAACCGCATCTTCCCGCCACTGAGGTGTACATGAGAATTGCTCACTTAAACTGATTGAAGGGAATGCATGGGGAAAAGCCCACCTAGAAAAGACATTTTGAAAGAACTAGCTGGAGCACTATCGTCTCAGCATTTCCACATGCAAAGAGCGGGGGAAAAAATTAAAGAAAATAGAGTGGATATAAACAGTACTGTAGATCGTGTTAATACAGCCCTTGTATGGAAGTTATACCCTTCAGTGACCTTCTAGTATTGTATCAGCTTGCTACATGCATGTCTTCATAGTCCAAACATGTGTGAAAGAGACCATTCGTCTACAGAAGGATGGATTTCTTTTTGTTGTCGCTGGAACCGGGACAGCAGACATGTATATTTGCCACATTGCAAATAAAAAAATTACTTCAACATAAATCACATAAAGTACAAAAGCTTTGATAAGTCCAGGATAAAATTTACCATTAGGCTATATCATAAATGATGAGATCTTCCACACATGCTTTTGGTGCCCAGGCATGAGCCAAAAGCAGTGCAAAAAAGCTTTCATATGAAAAATTAATATAAATAAGGTGTGTTTGTGATGATTACTTAAAAGAAAGATAAAGAAAGATAAGATGGCTCAGAAAAAGGGGCATCCTGCCAAACATATTAGAGATATAAAACATGAGATTGGAAAAAGGGGTAAAAGAAAGATGGACTGTGATAAAATACAAAAGAACAAATACAAACAGATGGACAAAGACACAGGTCCACTGAGGAATCTGGTACGAGGTTTGCTACTAGATTTATAGGTCACTCTCTCAGACGTTTGGTGGAAAACCGTCCAGCCTGTAAATGAATATAAAGGGAAGAAAACAAAGACACTTATAAAGTACAAGTAGCTGTGATCAGATGTCCTATACCATCAGTCAAATCAGCTTTGTTAGTTAAACATCCACATCTCCATTTTAACTTTGCCAAAGAGGATTAAGTTAATTGACCGTACACAAAGGATGCAATAACGGCAAAAGAGAACAGATAGATATTTTGTAGATTAGTTTGGCAGGATGTGCAATGAGAGGAAGGTACTTTAATCATCATTATAACTTCCACTATGCATGGCAACAAGATCAGTCAAAGCCTAGAGGTATGCACTACACAGAAGTACCAGAAGTCGGGACTGGGGAACAGCCAATCTACTGCTCTACAGTCATTTAGCTGGGCTTCCAAAAGCATGCACAACGTTAACCCCTTAGATAAAGGAGACATAACTTGGTTCTATTTTTTTCCACACCTCAGAAGGATTAGTACTTTATAATGAGGATCTCCAGGTCTAGCCATATCAAGGCGCTAAAACAACAGCCCAAAATGGACCACGGGAAACAGTCTCCTATCCGTCTTCATTTGTTAATTTTTTTCTCTTCCCTTTCTATTTTTTCCCTTTAAGAAATCCACAAGGCAGACTCCAGAAAAAGTGTCAGTAGCACTGCCGGCAAAGGTAGAAGGTATTTCCTACCTAAAATCTAGTGTGCCTTCTTGAGTGTTGACTCTGAATACTTTGTGAGATACTGTATTTTTGTTCTCCTGACAATACTGCAGTGATATTTTTAAAGATAAGCCTGTAATTTGGATTGCCAAATCCACTCCTAAAAGTTCAAGCATAAGGGAAGCAAGTTGATTTTAGCATGTGCTGGAGGATATGCTGAACAGCTGGTAGGAAAAAATCACCTTGGCCAGAGCTTGCGTTCACATCACCTCCTTCGGGGCCTAAGCCGGAGCAGATGTCAGAAGACAAAGAGGCTTTGACAGAGCACGGCTGCTGTGTCTGAACAGACTTCCCAAATGTGGCTGACACAGAGGAAGTTACTCCTGTGGTTTCGAGAGATCCAGGCTGAGCTTTAGTTGTTTCTTTGTGAGGTGAGTCTTTAGAGTCTGAAACATTACCTGAAAGAACAAAAACAAAATACAAGCAACAGCAAATGCTAGCAAACTGCTGAAGAAATATCAGTGCCTAAAAACAACTGCTCATGTGCCTCCAAGAACAGCAGTCTACAATGCTGAAGTATCATATGAAGCACAGACTACACAGATCACCACCACCACCAAATAGTTTACACACACTGCCACTGCTCTTGATCCTCCAAGAAGCTTGTGGGTAAGTTTGATTTTTATAGTTTCTTTTCTGAGTTTTTCAGAAGGACTGGAGTCAAGAACTCAAAAAGCACTGTTTAGAATTGCAGAAGTACCTGATTAGGACAACAGAGGCACAAGACGACTGAGCAGAATAAGTAGGTTTGCACCTGAGGTGAAAGCAAGTCAGTGGAGAAAAATAAAAAGCTGCTGAGAAGACATGAGGATTTTTTTCTTTATAACTATCTATCTATATATACACATCTCTATACAAAAATTGGTATCTGTATATCTATCTATACAGGTATATTGGGTAAGGAGACATTTAGCAAGATAGTAGCTTCGTAATCATTTGTGATACAGATTCAACAGCAAAAGCAACTAACGGAGGCAATACTAATTAGCTTATATCCATAACTGCATGAGACTACCTGCCCTTCATCTCTGAGAAATGACCTCAGAAAGCCCCAGAAATGAGGAGTCTGACTAGGTAAGGGTGAGAAGACTCGGGAGTGCATACAGGTTCTCAGAGTAATGAGAACTTCAGTCAGTGCCTCAGAATAGTGAAAAATAATGAAGAAGAAATGCAGGAAGGAAAGCATGCACCAAAGAAGCAACATAACTGAGCAGACTGCCATTCTCTAATTTAAATGGTGTTTAAGAGGAGGACATTATAACTCAGAAATAGGCTGAAATTCTTTGAACTAAGGCTTTTACCTTGGCTGATATGAGCCAAGGCCCATGAGCAGAAACAGAGAGATATGGGTTCTCTCTGTTAGACAGAAAATGGCTACAGACAACCCAAGAACAAACTGGCAAACGGATGGACAAAATCACAGACATTCACAGCATCTCACCACAAGGAAGGGAGATAAAACCTACGCCGGTTAGCCAAGCAGCAGCAAAACGGTTATGAAAGATTGAACACTGCTTCAGATCCTGCATGCAAAAATACTCCGATTTGAGATGGAGCACAGAACATAGAATCATAGAATTACAAGGTTGGAAACGACCTATAAGATCATCTAGTCCAACACTTTGCCTCTGAATCTGCTTTCCCTGTCTTAATTGGAATCCTTAATTAAAAGCAAAACCCTCTAAAACTGTCTTATAAGAATTCCACTGCATCAGCCTTGCTAAGCAGATCTGAAAAAGTGATGTTGCATACGAGACCCACCAGATTTGAAATACGGGGTCAATATGGAAGCATGCTACTCTCCCACATAACCCTATGAACTAAGCTGAAGGAAAAGTGGCCTATTCTACATCCTGCTGAAGAAATAGGCACTGGAGTGTATCAATATTTGTTATCTGTAACGTCATCTTCCTACTTTCCAAAGAGATCATGACTCAAGATTGTCATATTGTTTGAGAGCATTTGAGAAAATCTCAAAGTATTTCAAAGATGGTCGAAGCATCCATCACAGATTTTATTAACTGTTTTCTTATCTCCCACTCTTGGGGAAGCAAATACAATCCCATCTTATTTATACAGCATACTGTAGGAAAAAATAAACAACAACAGGATACAGTACCCAATCAATAGAGGACAGCAGCTCCTAAGAAGTGAATACAAACATCAATAAATTGCATTTGGAGAAAAGATGAGAAAATGTAACCAGGCTGTATTCCAAATTAAAGTGGGATATTGTTTGTCTGCCAAACACTGTCAGCAAATGCAGGGAAGGTACAGTTCAGCATGGGGCACTGTAACAAGACGGTCTCAAAGGAAGCCCACTTCAAAACCAGTTCACAGCATGCAAACTTAAGACACCATTTTAAGAAGAAAAAAAAATCAGTAACTTTTATGCAGTCCATGCAATTACACAGCAAAACCATAACAGCCAAAACCAACAGGGAAGTGGAAAGTAACCTAGTGCACCTACTTGTGCTTGATGTTCCGCTCCTGAGCTGTTGAACCAGAGGGTTTAATAGTTTTCCACCTTTCAATTTATTTTTGCTGGTTCTTCGTCGACGGCCGCTTGGTGGGGCTGAGTGCAGGAACCCCATGTTGGGAGGGAGGGGCTTCCCTAACCGAATGTACAGAGCCTCTATCTCGTTCTTCTGCTGAGTCTGGAGTTCGGCGATTTCTTTCATATGCCTAAGCATAAAAACAAAACATTTGCTAGCGTGTATTTGATAAAGCACCACGCGTTGGCAGCAGAACTAGCAGTGAGATGAAACAAAACAACCTTCAATCATAAAAGCTACCCAACAGCGTGCGAAGTCAGAACCACCTACTTAGCAAAGGTGGTGGCTGACTTCTCATACACTGATTTGTAAGATAGAGCCCCAGGTAAAAGATTTCAAATATGCTAAGTAAAAGCAATCAATTTTGGAATTCTGATTTAAAGTTGCCATAAAGTCAGTTTTAAACTTTTTGTATTAGTGTAGTTCTGTATAAAAAATGTGTAGCATCTATATTCAGCAAAACCATTACATCATACATTAAAGATTTTGCTTAGATTACCAACTAATGCTAGCAATTATCCATCGCATGTCAGGAAAGAAAGGAACATTAATGTTTTAATAAAGCTGTGAGGACTGGCAGCACAGCAGACTACTGAGGCTTCTCAGACCTCCCTGAGATTGGGCAGATTGCTGAGGTTTAGGCATGGTGTGAGGTGAAGTGAAGGTTTTAATTTAGTATCTGTTAGCAGGTATCTCTCAAAAGAGTGACATCAGGGACAGTGGTGGGTCTGCCAGTCTGAAGCACTCTTGCAGAGAAGGACATGAAGAGAATGCCCTACAGCTCTCTATGCAGACATCCACACTAGTTATGCGACCTTACGCAGCACCCACACTGGATCCTAATAGTACACACAAACACATCACAAGTGCTACCACTTGCTGCTATATCAATGCAGTTTTTAAGCAGGGAAACTGGATATCACAGCAGAAGTTCACTGATTTAAAAAGAATTATTCCACTTCCAAATGGAAATGGAAAATAAAGTGAGGCATAAAATGATGCAGGATGACATTCAAGGGAAGGCCTCAGTGATGCCTAATTTGCTCAGGAGCATTTTACTCACTACAGCCACACAAAACACATTTGCTTAGCACACACAGAGATGCCTAGGTATCTCAGTGCATTCTACCCCAATACTGTTTGCAAAACCAACATACTTTTCTCTCAAGTTCTGCAGTTCTTTCTTCATGTCTGCATCTTCAAATTCAGAGTCATTGTCACTGCTCATGTACGATGACTGCGAGTGGAAGGACGTTATGTTGATGGTAGGAATCTTTGTTCCCTGCCCGTTCGGTGAATCAGGGCCTTGGGAGCCCACTTTTCCAGTCCTTTGCAGAAAAGCTGCTGCTTTTTTAATTAAGTCAGAGGCTGCGCTGCTGCTCGGAGGGGACGGCTGAGCCGCAGCAGCCTGTCGATGGAAGGGTTCCTCAGCAGAATCACTCGAGCCCTGGTCACAAAGGACATCAACAGATGAGGCTGTCTGCACCCGTCGGACAGCTGTCTTCTGGTCGGGGCTGGAAGGGAGCTCATCCAAATAGACGTCCGGGGGCGCAGAGAACCTTAAGCAGTGCGGCGCTGCTAAAGTTAATTCATCTTGCGTGCTGCTTACTGAAAACCTGCCAATAGTTTTGGCTGGTGTACCACTATCATGAGTTCCAGCCTGTTTTCCATAGGAACCGGAGTCTAGAGAGTCATCCCTTTGAAGGTTATTTATCACCCCATCTGCTGTCGATAGCTGCATTACATTATCTGTGTGCGTAGATGAAGTTGTAGCCTTTGCCTTCTCGTTCGTTTTAGAAGTTTCCATCTGTTTAGCTCTGCTCAATGATGTAGGTGCAACCTGGAGAAAATAACAGAGGTTAATTTTGAAAGGAACTGTAACAATCAGATATAAAACTATGCGTGGTTTCTGGTTACCTGGAGGAGGCCCTTTGCTGGAGTCACAGGAGCTGGAGTGATGCTCGCAGCTGACCCTGGTTTACAAGTTGGAGAAAACAACAAATTAATGTCTGGAATGGTTTTGCATAAAGCAAGCCAATGGCAAACTCAAGGGTAACAGTGCAGCACTGAAGAATGATGTAAATACCAATTCCTTGTAATGCAGGATCTAGGATTATTTTTTTTTTTAATGCAGGAGACAGTAATGATAACAGTACAAATTACCTGCAGGTAGACACTAGCTTCAGTCTATTCATTTGGGGAATTCAAATAATAAAAAGAGTGTGAAATTTCTTAAGCCAACTGGAAAATTTTGGAGAGGAAGTAGAGTGACATTTGCATGGTACACTAGACCTGTATGACCAAGGTATTCTTCGTGTCTTGAAAAAATAAGTAATTCCTCTCAGATATTCACGCGTGTAAAATGCTGCATTTGACCACAAATGGACCATTACTTTACACCTTTCATTTCACAGGTACCCACACCAACAATTCAAAGTGTCTGAAATGAAGTTAAACATCACACTGCTGAAAGCAGAAATTACAAGCTTAGAAAATGCCATTTGGACCACAAAATATGTGAAAAAGCATAATAATGTAGACAACACTATTTCACCACTTGGGCCACTGCTTTTGAAATTAAGGCAGTGTACACAAGCTTTTTCAGAAAGCTGCTTTCTTACGGCACACAGTGAACATACAGCCTTCATATTTCTGAAACAGCGAAATACATTCTTGCTTTATGGTATCCAAGATACATTAATTCTACTACCCAGTGCTACGTTTCACTTACACCCGCTCTTCTCCACCTTTAGTGAGACAAATTAACACATGAAACTCAGAGCTTTCCTCTTGCACTGACCTAAGTGATGGACTCCAATGAGCCATGAACATTTTTGGCAATTTACATGACTCGAGGTCCCTCATTTATTCTAGGAGTACTGCACTTCCCTGCAGCTTGAAGAGGCAGCGCGTGAGCTCCAGCTCTGAACAAGCCAGAGGTGCTGCAGGCGGCTCCAGGTGTGCCAGCAAAGAACTGTCTGCCATCACACAAATGTGGCACTGCTTTGCCATGACAATCTCAAAAAAAAAAAAAAGACCAGCCCTTCCTCACCCCACACCTGTGACAGGGGCAGGAGTTTCAGGCTCCTCAACAGTCAAGGCTTCCCATGACTTGCAAGACAGGTAAAATGAGCATTACAACCGCTCAGTTTCTTACTGCTGCTCCTACTGTGTTATTATGGAAACTGCCATTGTATCTGCGAGTACTTAATGAAAAGAACTTCTTCCTAGTTCTCCATAGGAGCCTCAAACATCTTACAAGTTTCTCCCCAGAGATATTACCCTCAACCACATGATTTTCACCAGCTCCTTTTTACGCAGCCCCAGAAATCCAAGGGACTTTCTGTTCAGATGTTTTAATGGCACCAGAAATTTACTGTTGAGATCACAGACTTCCACACAAACACCCTATACCGTAGGCATATATTACCTACTTATGGTTTAAAATAAATCTGCCTGCGAGGCAGTTTATTTCTAGGAAGCTTGGCAGGAGCGAGCTATTTAATACTTGTTATATTACAGCAGGGTCAGCACTGCGCCGGGCACTGCTGGGCAGTTAACCAAGAGCTAGCAGCAAGGAGACACAGGAGAGGACTGGGCACAAGTACAGATCCATCACTGCGGTTCAGCACTGAAAGGAGCATTACCTCTTTGGCTTGCTGACCCACCTCTTGCTTCCAAGGACTCAGTCCCAACGCCTGCGGCCTCAGATTTTTCAAGCTTTCAGTAAAAAGAGAAAAGAAAAGCATTTCAGCCTCCAGCTGTGGAGAGTGCATTCTCATCCTCTCAGCCAGTGCATTCTCATCCTCTCAGCCAGTGCATTCTCATCCTCTCTTTCTCTCTCTCCCCCCATCTCTCTATACTCACACTACCGTGCAATGTGAAACTATTTTATATTGTTTGTGGAGATGCCTCTTAGCTTTTCCTTTAACTCATTTTTTTTCTCCCTTGGAAGACAAAGAGGAGGCAGAATCACAGAGGAGACTGCAACCTAAGTCAACATGGGCACTGAATTATAAATGAATTTCGGTTTTGTTCTGCTTTGCTTTTCCAGCAAAACCACACACTTTGCATCCATCTCTTCAGAAAATCCCAGATTTCAGAAGGACTAGATTCAATTACTGGAGAGAGACCACCTTTCATAAACAAGGCCTTGTAACTGCAGTAGGTGGTCATTAATCACCACATAGTTCAAACCAGTTGTTCAAATGCAGCCATACTTCCATAAAATACTGCATCTTTCCAACAGTTCATCCAGCTGACACTTTATGAAACTGCCTCATCCTTGGCAGTGGTGATGGAATTATCTCCAGAAGTCCTTTCAAAGAAGGTAAACATTGATCTTCTAGCAGAAAGTGCTGCAAACCTTTTTATTTCATGAACTCAGCATTCAGTCTGAGAAACTGCAACACATATCCAGAGCGAATGCTGACCCAAGCCACCAACATCAGTAAACTAAGTAAAATTAAAAACACAACAAAACCAAAACAGGAAAGCTCAGCTTTCCTTAGCTATTTCCCAGGAAGTCAAAAGAGGTCGCTCCTGGAAACTGGGCAATCATCTACCTATGGAGTCTTCCACCAGCTGCAGCACTTGTGTGAAGTGTCCTGAGGTGTTTATTTTATTCTGACTTAGAAAGCAGGTATTGTAATCCCTGCCAATAATTTATATTAGAAAAATCCTATAAATATTTCATGTTCGGTGCTACTTACTGTACCTCATTTTCAAAGAGAGAGCAATATAGGCTGTGTTTGGAGTCTGTGCTATTTCAGTAAGCAACTACATATTCTAAAATTGGTCATAAATGCATAACATGCAAATTAAACATTTACTATTGCTAACTTTGTGATAACGATACAAAGCAAAACTATTCATAGACTATAATCAGTCTTCAGAGGAGGTCTCTGAAACTGCTGTGATTCCACCTCATTCATAAATGGGACACTCTCTGCCAGCTCCCTGCTGCTGTGTGCATTTGCTGTGGTATGAGGCAAGGGTGAAGCAGAACATCCCCATGTAACCAGCTACACATGCAAACGAGGCACAGACAATACCACGTCAGAGCCAGCTGACCAGACAAACACTATCTTCCCTCTTCAGAACTTAACGACTATTCCCATGATGCATATTACCATAAACTACAAAATGTCATATTTCTGCCTGCTTTAGAAACAGGATATGATGTGAAATGTGAATTAAGATATTATATAGCTTAAAAACCCAAAGGAAAAATTTGGCTTTCACTGGTAAATGCTTATGTAAAGTGAGTCAAGTTCTAACTTTACGAGATGCACTCTAAGAGAACATTCACAATGGAAAGCAAGCAGCGACAAAAGGTAATACACAGAGGAGCAGATGTAAAATGTTTAGAGAAGCAAGAAGCCCATACACAGGTTATACTACAGACTGTTTCTGGGCTCTACTTTGGTGGTGTCCATGATTTAGAGACACAAAGGGCAAAGTCACTGCACTAACCAATGCTGGGTAAGGTGCGACCTCAGGTGGCACAGCCGGCACAAACTGGGCCTCAGCCGCTTTCACCTCCTGGCAGCTATCCGTGGCGTTATGGCCTGGTTCTCTCAAATCCAACACCAACTTGGGATCTTCGGTGAATGGTGGCAAGTTAAATTCACTGTCAGCCTGTTCCAGTGGCACAAAAGCGTCTGGAGTTCCTGCTGATGCAGAAGAAGTCGGGACATATTCCTGGTAAAGTAAGTTGCGCAATTTCTCATCGAGGCTTTTTATTGTGTTGTCAACGAAATCCACCCGGGGTGGCCCCTCTCCATCAGACTCCACAGTGCACGGCTGCTGCTGCTGCTGCAGCAGGCTGATCCCCACACTGGCGCAGGTGACAGGCTGTGTCTGGGACAGCATCACGTGCTGCTGGGATGTGGCCATGGACACCTGAGTGGGGCTCTGAAGTTGAGATCCTGCCAGATTGAGAGACTCGGATGCAACAGATGCAGGAAACACTTGATTCACAAAGGAGTGCTGCACCACGCCGGGCTGGCCGGCCTCTGGCAGGTGAGGGATCTGGGCCGCAGGCTGCCGCTCCAAAACAACAGCATCAGAGAGCACAGGGAGCGGGCAGAGCTCTGCTGCCTTGGCAGGAGCTGGCGGGACTGCTTTGGGCGGCCCAACACTGCAACACGCTATCTCCACGTCAGGGATACACATGGCCTCATCTGCCTGCTGCTGCGCCTGCTGAGTAGGCTGGGCAGCCAGGGGAGCATCAGCAGGCTCCTCCAGAGGAGGAGCTGGAGTGCCAGGTGGGGCAGGTAATGCTGCTTGCAGTAGAGAACATTCCGGCTGGCCTCCGTTAGCAGCTGCCTGCTCCAGGATGTTTGGAGCAGGTCCTGGCGGCGCTGGAGCTGAGAGCTCTGCCTGGCTCGGCAAGCCAGCTGAAGATGCTGCAGCAGGAATTTGTGCCAAAGATGGAGAGGCCCCAATGGGGCTGTCACAGATGCTTGCTTGTAGAGGAAGCTGCTGACAAGCTAAGACACCAGGCGCATCCGGCACCGCAGAGTTTGCTTGCTGATCATCCGACTGCTCCAGGTCTAGGAAGGACACAAACAGCATTTGAACTTCTGATGGGCTGTACGAAGTGAAACAAAGTCACTGCAGAGCCTCTTGACTAGCTGCAATGACAACTACACCTAGCCTGAACTTTTCCCTACAGAAAAAATTAAGGCTGCAGTGACCCATCTGGATGCTTTCCTGTACAACTTACACTAGGGAACTCGCTTTAGCAGGGGTTGGACTCATCTCCAGAGGTTCTTTTCAACCCCCGTGATCCTGTGATTAGAATTTCAGCCATGCTATAGTGAAAGGCAGACACTTAAAACTCTGGAACTTCCCCCAAACTCAGATAAACATTTCTAATTTGGTTCAGTACAATAAACACACGTATGTCGTGTATGGCTCAAAGAAGGCTCTTCATCGAAAAAGACGCAAACTAATTTTGTGTGATAAGTGTTTCGTTATCAACAGGAACGTTACTCAGCTCAACACTTGACCAAGGACAGGATAACATGGATTGTTCAAACTACGTGATGTCTCTGGCACAACTGTCTTCAATTGTTACAATGACAATGAGGCCTAGGCTTCATCAAGTGCACCTTTTACAGGGTAAGGAAGAAGAGCTCTTCTACATCTCACGAAGTTTTCTTTATCATCCCGGAACTAGAAGCTGACGAATACACCTCTAAGCCAAGGCATCAGGGTCCATTCCTCCCCTCACCCTTTGCCCTTCTGAAGCCACCAGAGTTTTCAGAAGGACTGGGGTACTGAGAATCAAAGCCAAGAGACTTCTTTTCCTTCTGAGACAATGTTTTCTAAAAAATCTAAACTTTGTAAATACCTGGACCTTCAGACTGTTGTGCACCCTGAGGAACTGGTGGAGAAAATTCTGGTGCATCCGTAGTCGGGTTTTCCACCACAGGGCATATAATAAACCACCTTTTTCCAGTATGCAAAACTAGATATGAAAATAAAAAGTAAACAATAGTTTTGGTTTATTCCAGATCACCCGTCATAAGCTAGTTTTAATTTTTATATTTATATTTAGAAAACCCAAATTCCTGTGGTAACAGCCAAGATTATAAACAATGGCTCCCATCTGATTCTCATCCCTGAGAAGCCAGTTTCCGTAAGGGAGACTGACACCACCTGATTCTGCCACACATTTATAGTAAGTTTATTCTCAAGTACTAATTATCCTTAGAAAGGTAATAATTGCATACAACACAAATTTATGAACGGTTCTGCAAACAGCTTACTATGGAAAAAAAATGTCAGTTTGGTAAAGTTTATCCATTTTAACTTTTCTAAGTTGGAAGTGTTATAGCTAACATTTCTTTCAAGTCTCATCTCAAGGTCTGGCATATATAAATGGCAAATGAGAATTATACGCACTTGGTAACATCCAGCATAAGTAAAAATGTTTAAAAAAAAAAGTGCTAAAAAATGATATTACTTTTCTAGGCAAAAATAAACCAGGTATTTTTAGCAGAAGATCTAGTCGGTAAAGATCATCCAATTTCTGCATTCATTAAAGAAGTCCTGTGTTATCCTTCCTTCCTGTAATTAAGAATTTTTGAAACAATGCTTCCTCCATCGGAGATTTAGCTTTTTTTCCACGAACACACACTTACACAGAGATAAAAGGACCATCCCCTTCCCTTCCACTTGGCTATAAAACCCATAAGATGCAATGGCATGCAGACGCCCCAAACTCCCCTCAATAATAATGAGGTAGTTGAAAATGTATGGGTTAGAAATTTCAATTAAATTACCAATGCAAACATATCTTTTAACTTTCTCTTGCAGATGTAGTTATGAAAAGAGTATGCTTCTTGATTTTTACACCACTGATTATCTACTGATGTAATTTAGGGCTTCCCTAGATGTCCCAGGTGTCAGTCAGCTTAGCCCTATGATCGTGAAGGTTGCTAACAGCAGAGATCACTGTTACACCCTTATTTCTAGATCCAACCACCAGTAAAACTGGTGATATTTTCCTCAATCTAGAAAACTTCTGCATAAGTTAATCAGCAACTTCAAGCTAGAGATTAAGCTTTTATTCAAAAGCACATTTACCATTTTGTTGATACACAGGAGTCTTCACTTGAGATGGCCGCTTCTCCTATTCAAAGAAACAAACAACAAAAAACCACTGTCTTAGTATCAATGCAAAAGCAGCATTATTCCAAGGAACCTTTATATTTAAGTTTTAACTGAGTTAAAGAATTGCTTTTCTAGCTAAGAAACCTTTTTTGTTTTTTTTTTTTTTCCTTTTGTTCAGTGCGGGTTGTGAAACTTCTTTACAGTAATTGGACATTAACAAAAAGGTACCAACCAAGAACTCTAACATTTCTCACCTCATTCATTTCTGTTCCATCAGTATCCTGCTGGGGACTTGTTCCCTGATCAGAACTCCGTTCTCCTTCCGTATCTTCACTGAGCATATCTTCTGCTTTATCGATAATATCTTTCATTTGTTCAATAAATGTCTCTTTCTCACTCTGCAATATGAATTCATTCTCTACCTACAAAGTCACATCAAAACAGAGAAAAGAACTATAACTTTTTGGCTAATGCCCCATTCGGCTTGTAACAAGCCAACATGAGAATAAACTGGTTAAGGCAACATGTTACATCAAGAGCCTGTGGGCAGCTGCATCACCAAGTCTTACCATGTAAGTAGCAATTTCCTCGGGTGCATCACCATCCAAATCAAACTTAAAAGTCACCATTTTGTGATTGTGTGTTTCAAGCTGACACTCCACCATCTTATCTCCTGTGTTACAAACCTGCAAACAAAGATTAAAAAACAATTATTTCCAGCACAACTGAACTAATCCTGACTTTATCCCTAAAGAAAGAATACTTGCATTTAGTATAGTCAGTTTGGGTCTGTTGGTTTTCTCCTGGCGTGAACGAGCACGTGTAGATTTCTTATGTTTCTTTGAAGACTTTCCTTCTTGTTTTCCACTTCCTATTGCTCCTTCGAAGCTGTCACTCATCTCTTTACCTGAAGCAACATCTGGACTCATGTAGCTTTGCAAGACAAAGGAAGAAATCCCCCAGAATGAAACCGCCATCACACAACAGAGTTACATATAGATAAGACAGAGGAAAATCAGACTACAGAAAAGTGTATATTCTGGCCCAGATTGAGCCAGCTCCTGAGAGATGCTCAGTAAGTGAAAGGAGCTCCTCTAAGTCAGGCATGTACTCTGGCTATCACACCTAGCAAGAAATGACCTCTCGAAGTTTCTGTCAGTACCATAAGGAAGTGCCGTCATTATTTCAGTAATTAATGCATTACTAGGCTTGAGTTCAAACTTGTGCACTGCAAAACCTCAGAATGAGCTCTGGCATGTTTTAATCCTTGTCATAATGATACATCTGAGTGGCTCAAAGTACAACTCTCACCAATACATCATCTCCTATATCACTCTTGGGGATGGATCATTACAGAAGGTGATATAGGTGCACCCATTCCAAAGGGGAAATAAGCTACATACCCAATTACTCAAGTATAAAATGCCTTTGTACAGATTTAATGGCATCAAAATCAGGGATCATACCACTTGAGTTATTTTAACAGAAATAAATTACTTGCTGAACTGAAATTTGTTGTACATACATCAAGGTTAGGATGCAATACCCCATCCAAAGACCAGGCATTTCAGTTAGCCTTATAAAGACAGAAAATTCACCCTCTAAAAAGAAAACATTTTTTTTGCTGAAATGATTATAATGGTACCTTTCACAGCTCTGTGACAGAGTTTGAAGTTTGTCCTGTATTGCCTGCTCCTAAAACATAAGAAAAAGTCATTTAAGTAAACATGTTGTACTGCCAGACAAAAACACCCTTAAGAAAGGTTTGTTGTTGAGATATTATTAATATCCTAAATCATTCTCTTTAACCTATTCATCAATTTTGAAAATGCCCCATTTCACCCTGCTATCTTCATTTGTGCCCAGACTCTTAGGACACCAGTGCGCCAGCTCCCTTCCCTGCTGCTGCTGCTGCTAAAGCAGAAGAGGCAGTGAAAGAAAAGAAGCGCTCCTCACCACAATGGAAAAGTTTTACTGCAGGACAAATTCACATCAACGCCTGATTCCTTTTTGAATGAACGTAAACTGTACACCAATGTGTTTTATTGCTTTGTATAGTCCCCTGAAATAATATTAGGTATTTTAAGCATGCTTGGCTTATTGTGAGAATTGTGACGAACTTCCAAATAAAAGACAGAAATGCTTTTCTTAAAAATACACTCTTCATATAATGCCCTCTTGGTCTCGACACAACAGAAGTTTACCCTAAAAACTTCCCTGTTCCCTGGTCCAATGCTAGCCCAAGCATCAGCGGTGTTTCACCATGCACAGACCGGATAGGATGATGCCCTGCTACTACAGCCTCATTACATGTATGGGTAACAGATACACACACACCTGTTTGTATATAGCAGTACATGTATGTACACACACATCAGCTTAATAAATATATATAATCATATATATTTATAAACATGTATAACACTCTTCCATAGACACGGTTACAAACAAACCCCTGGACTGACACCACTGTATACTCATACCAGAAGAGTTTTTAACTGTAGTTAAAAGCTTTGAGGTTTAACCAGCCCACACCCCTCATTGCTCATAACGCCACTCACTGCCATGCCAAAATTGACCGCAGTTTCTATAAAACTGCAAAATTAATGAACAGTGAGAACACAGACATAATGTATCTAGATTTTAGTAATGCACTTCATCAAGTGCCTCACAAAATCTCATTTGCCTTATCAATACAAATTGGTTTGGATGTGAGTACTGCGACACAATTTAACAAAAGACAGATAAAAGCTAATGGCAGAGCAGTAACAAAACATGACATTTGGAGTATCTACAGGCATGAAACTCCTCTTTCATCCCAGAAAACCTTAGCAAAATATGTCATAAAATCAGCACGGGGAGTACTTGGACCAATGTGACCTTTGCACAGAGTCACAGTGTGATGCTCATGTGCTTTGCTCAGGAGCCAGCTGTGATGATCAGCACTTACAGCTCTCTACAGCTGCAGGATACCAGCATCTCACATATCAAAGAGCTCCAGAGGCCAGCACCTGCACTCTAGGCTTGGCTCTGACTGGAGATTTCACAGGTGTGAGTAGAGGGAGGGAAGCTTTGAAAGAAATAAATCTGGATATCATATTGTCACTCAAGAATTATTATTTTTTTTTTTAATCACACCTACTCAGTGCCTTTTCTGCATTCCAGGAAAAGAGGACAAAAGTGTGACACTGGATTGATTTCTCAAACTGCGTAAGAGAAGGCACATAACTTACAAGTGAAACATGAGAATGAAGTTAACAAAACGGCCATTATCTGTTCCCAAGGATGCAATAAATTGCCAGGACAGACTCGTGCCGTGGAAGGCACCCATTTCTCACTTAACATGGGATAACTTGCACCCCCCCTACATCATACTGAACCATAGCAATGAAATCTGTTCGTATTTCCAGAAGCTCAAACAGGAGGGGCCCTGCAGGCAAGGCTGTAGCTTTGGCATCAGAATGGATTCTGACAAGAGCTGCGCACACAGAAAATAGGCAGGTTGGAGGAGAAACAGCTGGAGTAAGGGATGGAAGTAGGGACGGAAGTAGAGGATTGAAGGAGTAAGGCCTAGTGTGGTCAGGCTTTACTTATGGACTCCGCACACGAAGCATGAAAGGCGAGTCCTGCTAGTTGTTCTACCTATATCTAACCTACAGTACATACAGAAAGTCACCAGGAAACATCCTATAGCACAGCACGATTAATTTCTGACAAGAACTAGGCTGTCACTGCATAAAAGGGCAGGCAGAATGAGGTATCAGAATCCCGTTTCAGATTTAGTCTCATTCTTATGCTACAGCTTCTGGAAGAGGATTTAACTGGACGTCTAATGGAATTCTTAGGCTGCACTACATAGGAAAGGATCACAACAAAATGCACTGGCTAAAAAAATTAGTTTGAACAGATGTAAATGCTTACTTTGGGAGGAAAAGCCTCAGAACAGAACCTCAAGAGAAAGCAGAAACAGGAGAGCAGAATTGTTGAGGGACATTTCCATTCAGAAATGGAAAACTTATTCACCAAAATCTAAAATGCCAAAACCTTTGTTTTGCTTTGCTTATGGGTATCTATCAAAGAACTGAAGAGAAGGAAACATTCTGTGACATTCTGTCAAGACTGAAGCTTAAACAATCACGGGAGTGGTAAGAAAAGCCAAAAGAGCAGACAGGGCAAGCTGACAGTTTCAAAAGGAAACAAATAAAATCTATCTTGCTTATATGACCATTGAGAATTGGTAATGTTTGTGAGTATTTGGAAAAAAAACAATCCCAGGGCCAGGCTAGAACTCCGGCAATACAGGAATGTACAATACCAGACAAAATACAAATAAGACCCAAACTGCAGGGCACGAAGGGTGAAGAACTGGATTATGAAATAATTTCTTAAGGCAAATGATGATTAGTTGCACAATTGCTTGACACATGTAAAACAAGACTGGACAAAACATGGATGAAACTCTGTAGAACAGCTTCTTACTGACCCACAGCACTCAAAGACAGTCTTTTAAATTCTGTTTGTGCTCAGCTACTGACAAAGAGGTGCTTTGTAGCTGACTTGTCCTGCAGCCTGATCACTTCAAGGAGATGTTTCACAAGCAGTCAGGGTGCAGCACGCTGCTGGAAATGGCCAATTATTTGCTGAGTTAGCATCTAGAGCTGGCTCTCTATCGTGAGAGTGGAGAATCTTCCTAATGAACTAAGCCCACAGGTATACAGGAGGTTAAGGGCAGGCTGGTGAGTGACTGAGGAGGAGACGGCTCTACCTCTTGCGATGTCTCTGCCACCGCCTGCACGGCTGAGCCAGGAGCGGGGAGCTGCTGAGCCAGGGGCTGGGAAAGGTCTGGCTGAAGCTGCAGAACACCCGAAGGCTGTAGAGGCAGACAGTGATCTATGGGCACTGGTGGACTAGCTGTAGCAAGGCTGCCATGAACCTGTGAAATGCTTTCTGGAGCGACGCGGGGAGGCAACAGTTCAGGTTGCAACTGCAAAGGCGGTGACATGACTAGCGAAGGCTGCACTGGGAGTACCGGCACCTGGGCTCCAGTTTCCAAACCATACTGAGTATGTCCAGTAACCTGCTGCAACACAACAGACACCTAATTAAAACACAGCTCTACTTAGCGTGCTCCTGACTTACATATCACAGCGCTGACGTCACTCTGGTTTATGGAAAAAGGGTTTTAAATCTACAGTGAGAATGCATATGTGTGGTCTCTAATTGAAAGGGCAACTGCAGTTAAAGTTGGCTTTAAAATGATCAAATCAAATCAAAGGATTCTTCCTAAACAAGCGTGACAGTGCGTTTATTTAACAAGTGCTACTTAGTTTATAGAAACAAAACCATCTTTCACTAAGAAAGCCAAATCTTAAGTCCAATTTGCTGTTTCCAATATCACAACATACAGAGAAATACATACTTTATCAGTAATTTAAATCAGCACTTTTCAAATCTGTTATACATAAACCACCTGCAGACAAAGGCTATGCAATTAACTCTTTTTATACTGAACATATGCAGTGTCTTGCAGAACACACTGTCTTCCACTTGAACATTTCAAACCAAATTTCAGTCTTGGCACACTAAACATTGAGGTCCTGATCCTGCAAACGCTTCCTTGTGTAACTTTGCACTGAGGAAGTTTCATTTATCTCAGTGGATTTCTTCAGTGCATTAAAATAACCTGTGTGCTTGAACACTTTGTGGGAACAGGACCTATGTGATTAGATGCCTTAGAGACTGTGTTGTTATTCTGCATAACAGTTCTGTGAGTTGTATATTTAAGAACAGAACATTCTCCTTTTAGGAACTTTGTGTATTTTTCCAAGGGGACCAAGCTCATAGGAAGAGGAAAAAAGGAAAGAAGAATTAGGGAAGAAAGAAAATTTTTCAGAACTAGGTAAAACTGCATGACTTGTTTGAGGAGTATCTACCATCACCTGGAGATTCAGAGCATTGGATAACAAAAATAAATAAGTAAATCAGGACTCAAATGAGAATTAGGGCTCACAGTTTCATCGCAGTGTGCTCTGTGCAGAATGTAGGTAGGAGCTCACATTATTATCCCAGGTTTTAAGTGGATAAAAATAAAGATGCAGTGGGCCTTGCAACACACAACTGTTACAAGATTGCCTAAGTGGAGGTTTTTAGAACAGTAACTGCAGTGTATGGAGCAGAAGAACAGTGACAACTTTTTTTTTCATCTTTATGTAACTCAAATAATTCACAAAATGCCTCAAAGTATAATTTACCTGAGTATAACTGAACACAGAGATGTTTGAAATCAACTGCAAATATAGCTCTGTGTAGGAATGCCTCTGTTTACAGAAATGCTTCCTATGCAAAGCGTTTTAAAAGATAGAACGGTGTATTTTTGAATACCCCTATGTTCTTGTCTGGCTTTTTTATACTATTTTTTAAATCCTGAAAAGTATAATTTTTGTGTTTCGTGTGTGTTGTGAAGTTTTGTGTGTACGTATTTGGTCTGCTTCTGGTGTTGGCCATGCCCAACTCAGTTCTTTCTAAAGGCATTGGAAAAGCTGTGGCTAATGAGCTCAATGGGAACTGCCTCTGGCTCCACATTGCCTACACTCCTACAAACAATATTTCTGTACCAAATATATGGCTGGAGACAAATTTTAAAATGATGCATTGCTTTGAAGATGCCATGACACGGCAGGTTGAAATGGGACGTTATGAATTTTAATCAGCGTGTTACAACAAAGTGATGTGGTAGAGCAGAAATTTTCAAGAACACTATTATTAACAGATTTACTGCCCTCTCCTGCTTGGGTCAGGCTGCATTTCATGTTGTCATATCACAGATGTGGCAATGGAAATGTTTACAGACTCTTAACAAGCCCTGAATCAGCTCATTTGTAAGCAGCGCTAACATCTGAAGCTTCATGTTATGCTTCATTTCCTTTAAGGGGGAGAAAGGGTCTGCGGCTTGCGTTTGTTCCCATCTGATAAACCTCTTCCATAGAGTTTTCTGGAGTTGTTATCAAATGGTCATTTTTCTTGGCTTTACAAAGCAAACTTCTAAAGCAGTTCTATGTCAAAACAGCTCTCAGTTCAGTTGCTCCTGCCAGCTCATCCGTATTTTGCCATCTGTATACAATGCCCCTGCACCGCGAGCGTACCGGCACAAAGACATTAGCATCACCAGTGCCATGCAGCTACTGCCAGGGCTTAGTCACTCCTCCTGCCCCAGGAGAACCACAGCTCACATTTCCCCGCCACTCTGTTGTAACTGAGATGGGAGAGGGAAGACGGAATTCAGAAGTGGGTACTTTGCCCACTTTTCAGTCCTTACACCCACAACATCCACCTGCCCCCACGTAAAGACCTCAGCGCTTCACACGAGTTCAGTTCTAGCAATCACCTCCAGAACCAAGGACAAAGAGTTAACAAAACATCTTAATGCAGGAAACCAATCTCCCAATTGCATTTAGAGTGGAACGAGCCCCCAGAACGTTCAACAGCCACCCTACAGCCTAGCACCGACACAGCCCAGCGCCGGGCAGATTACCTGGTTACCGGCCCCAGGGGCAGACAGTGGCTGTTCTGATGGATGAATTACGCCTGGCTGAAGTGACTGAGGAGGTGGAGGTTGCTGCGGCTGGGAAACGGCTTGCGTGCTCTGAGTGTGATGGGGAGAGGGTGCTTCGCTCTGGATTATCTGCTGGAAGGTGGTCGGGTACATCTGCTGCTGGGGCAGCTGGGACACCGCGTGGTGCGGCGGCAGCGCTGGCACTCCTGGCGGAGCCACGGCAAGCAATGGTATTGTAGCAGCCGACATATTTGGCACTATTGTTTGGCAGGGCAAGACCAGAGAAGCCACAGTTGTATGAGGAAGGTTCACTGCTTGCATGGGGAGGGCGGGGGAGTTTGGTGCCATGGGCAAAGTGGGGTTCATGGGGAGGCTCGGCAAAATCACAGCTGGAGCGAAATACTGAGAAGGAGCAGGTATGGGGGGCACGTTTGCAGCAGGTATATCAGAGAGGTTTGGAGGAAGGTTGTCAAGTCCTGCCAGAGGAGTAATTGCAGGAATGACAGGAAACTGAGGCATCTGAAAAAAATATAATATCATATAAATCGCAAGAGCTTTCATTGGTGGTACAAAGCAGTTTCATTTGCCATACAGTGTGCAAAGATCACCTGTGCCATGATAATTATGTCTGTTAATCACTTCCATTTATTTCCTGAGGTTTACAGACAGTAATAAAACCTTAATTATTAAACCATTAGGGGAAAAAAAATAAAATTTCATTTTAAGGGGATATTTTCGGGAGTTTAAAACTATTTCTCATGATAATTTGATAGCCTTCAAGCAACATCCTAGTTAACAAAGAATTGCTTCCATTTTAACAGAAGGGAAATGGAATCAGACCAGACAAAACACTGCACTCTTTCATGCAAAATACAACACCATGATTAAAAATCTTTGTTTTCATATCTGTCTGCATCACAGGCAGCAGGGGAAATGCTGTAAAATGGTTTTTAACACCAAAACCTCCCAGTGACACTGCAGACCATGATAACTATCCCATTATCATGGAAGCAGCTTGCTTCTTCCCCTTGGGATAAGCTGTTTCACATCACAATGGCTGCCACTAGCAAGCACAGCAGCAAACCATTCCAGGCATAAGAAGGGTCCATCCCTACCAATGAACCTTGGAACAGAGCTGGGAGGGAGGTAGAAATTGTGGGGAAGCCAGGAGCTCGAAAACAAAAAAAACGGACAACTTCTCATGCTCTAAAGCCTGGAAGGGGGAAGAGTACACCATGGGGGAAAGTGCAAAAAATATGCAATTATAGCAAATTTGTAACTAACTGGATTATCTCGGCATGGCACAGGATTATTCACAAAGGATATTTTTGGTTTTCAAAACAAAAACATATGACAAAGAAAAGTATTAGGGGAATGTTGAATACCTATGGACTGAATTGCATGCATGCAATATAGCCACACACACACACACAAGAAAAAAACCCAACAACTGCAAATCATGTTAATTATTAGCTAGAAAGCTTTACTCAAACAATGTATTCACACAGTTTTCAAGAGATATTACCTGGGAAGGGGCAACTGGAGGAAGCTGTGGCACAGTTGAAATCTGAAGGGGTTTCAGTGGTGTACTACTGGCTGCCACCTGAGAGGTCTGGGGCTGGTACTGGGGCAGGAGATGGGGGGCAGGCTGGATGGGGCAAACCGGCTGGCTGGCAAGCACCTGCTGCAGAGAAGTTTGCTGTGATATGGGTTGCTGCCAGGAAAGAAAGAAAGAAAGGAAGAACAAAGAAGGTCATAACATGTATATTATGAAGGAATCAGATCACTGGACACAGCCATGCTGCACAGTCAGATCAGAACCAGCACTCAGTAAAAACACTTTATAGAAGGGAAGGGTACTCCTAATTTGAACACTGTACAAGAGCCTGTGTTTAAAACACATTTGAACTTCAGATACATTACCTGAAAAGACAAGCTCTAGCTATTTTGGAAAGGTTATTTTTAATGACTCAATCTTTAAATCCCAGAGATTGTTCTGGTTGGCCTTGTAAAATCCCCACCCACTGGCTTCAAAGAGTCCCACTATGCAGATTACGCCCCGTTAATCTTGGCATTTAAGAGCTGACTATGTAATGCATCAGGCGCTGAAATAGACAACACATTATCTGAGATGTGAACAAAACAGTAATTATCATAAAAGCTCCAGCTAGATCCCAGTTATGTGTAAGGTGCTGCAGTAACAACGTGGCAGCCAAAAAAGTAATTTTACCATTACCTAGGGAATGGCGTTCCACTGGCCTGCCAGATTTCATATAGCATAGCAGGGAAAAAAAAAAAAAAAAAGCTGCATAAAAGCTGAAAATAATCAGCAAAAAAGTTTCACATTTTCTGTGATTCTGACATCTCCTTCTTCACTTCTGTTAACATTGAAAATACTAATATATATATGTATATATATTTTAAATCTTGCTTCAGAAGCATAGTACTGAGGCACCAAGCTGGCTCTGGATATACTTGGACATACATCAATCAGCCCGAGCTCTGCAGCACATAAAATCTAATACCATGCCTGGTGTTCAAAGGTAAGTTCAAAATGAACAGCCAAGCAGCATTATCTTTCATTTTTGCCACTTGTGCTGTAAGTCAGTAGAGCAATATTTTGCTCTGCGCTTTTTCAGCAGCAGGATTTGTCAACCAGAGTTTCTAGATACATTAGTACAATAGAACTGTACATGATGTATCAAGGGAGCCAGATGCCACTTGCCCTTAAGCATCAAAAACTCAGCCACAACTGCTAAGTTTCCAATACTGGGATCAGTGAACAAACAAGCATTCGGCTACTGGCACGCCGTGTCTGGGGCTGAATGCCCTGAATGCCACAAGCAGCACTGGAGGTGGCACTGAACAGGCACTAACCAGCTCTGCACAGCACCAGCTCATCTCCTGCATTATTTCTCAGTCCCAGCAGAGCATTCCTCTCGCACCTCCACGCAGCGTATGCTTGGGCTGATAAATCTCACCAGCACAAAGCCAGCTCAGGTATCTGGGCATCTGCAGCTGGGTTAATCTGCAGCTCAGACAGGCTGCCAGCAGCTAACTGGGAATTGAGTCCACTGATCGCGGCTGCTCGACCTGCCTGCACCCAAGGGGATGCTGAGCAGAAGGCAGAAAAACTGTGCTCACAGAACTGAGGTAACTTCCTAAGGCCTCCACCTTCAGTCTACAAAATGCGTGCAGTCTGGATGAAATGCAGCGAGTGGAAAGAATCCAAACGAACTGCACTAATTCTGGCTTAATCTAACCTCAGTGTTATAAGTAGACAGATACCCAAAATGAAAAAAATAAAATACTGAGGAGATGCAATATTGATCGCCTCCATCTGAGTCATCAGCTTATATTCATAAATGATCAATACATTCCACTGTTTTATAGAGATGAATTTATCACCCTGACTTCATGTACTCGGGCTGAGAAGCCCTACCGTCCTACAAAAACCTGCAGTTCTCTGCTGCTGAGAGTAGAAGGCAGATTCTTCATTCAAAGTAGGTCTTCCTAAATGGAACCAAGAGCGATACTAACATTTAAGAGTTCCTAGAATTGGTAAACGCCAATTATCAAAAGCTGAACAGTCACTGAGCTACTTCTCCCACAGTACTGTGAGATGGACCCAGGGGTGTTCTTACACTGCAAACTGGATGTGTTTTCTTCACGTGTCTCTGCTTCTTTGGACTATCCTGAAAAATTTAAGAATAAAAAACTGCGTAAGTCTAGCCTTGATCTGGGACTGCATCCAGATTTATCCTGAGGGTGATTCCATTTAATGGAACTAATGGCCTCAGGCATGAACTTTGTCCCAGAGCTTACATCAAGGCTATCTTCTATCAGTGTCCAAAGGAAGTATACATGGGCACAAACAGAAAAAGGGAACTATGCAGCCTGACTCACTAGAAAACAGATACAATGACTGCTCTGTCTTTGTTTACTAACAGAGATGGAATTATTTCAAGAAACAGCAATGCTGGGAAGGAAGAGTATATAGAAGAAATTAAGTTAGGTAAATACCCTATCCAAAACTGCATTTGCCAGGGGAACAACGTGTTTCGATCTGTCAGCATAAAGCTTCAGAGGCCACTAGGAAGATCACTGTGATCAGAAACGTCCTCAGTGTGCTTGAGAAAGTGTACAATTTTTGGCACAAAGAACCATATCATCATCACTGTCCATTAGAAAAGAAAAATCTAATGCATCATAAAATTTCACATAAGCAGGCATTTTTCAAGGACACCAAATTACACTGTTTTTATACTGATTCTTTCAGAAGAATAGGGCATGTTAAAAAAAAATTAACACCAACACATTTTGGTAACTAGGAAGGTATGAAGAGACACAGTATGTGCCAGACACAAAACATGCAAGCATTCCCCAGCCTCATCAACAGTTTCTACCCAAGGAAGCCAATGTTTTGCTATGATCACAAAAATGAGCCACAGATCAACTGTTATACGGGTCTGCGGCTACATTTCTTACTGCCTGACATCACCTTCGTACAAGGAAGCAACTGCAACCTTCACAGCTGTCCCTGCTTGAAAGCCATGTTGTGTAAACACTGTTAAGGAACAGGACTTTTTGGGGAATTTGATGATCCAATGTGCATTATTTGGAGACAATTCAGAGAGATTCTTTTCTTAGAAGATTAAGAGATTTGACAGATGCTTCTACCGAATTACAATTAAAAGACCCAAATCAAAAAGCAGCACCCCCAAGTACCTAAAGACAACTGATCCCAACATCAAAGCTGCTTTCTCACCTTTTAGAAGTATTTTGAGCACAAGTTGCCAAACAACGAAGTGAAATTAATAAAAGCCTATTGTAAAAAACAAAACAACAATGAAGTACTATACTGAAAGCAATGTAAGTGCTCAAGAACTCAAACTTATCACAGGCACCGTCTTGAGTAGAGCATGGACAAGGTGTGAGGTGAAGCCCCTGGGCAGCAGCCCCTCACCTGCTGGCTGGCCAGCACCGGCTGCGACTGCCCCAGCTGCATGGAGGCCACGGTGGTCGGCTGCACCACTGGGAACGTCATCGCTGGCTCCTGGTAGTGCTGGGGCCTCTGGGGCACCACCGCAGGTGGAGCCTGAACCACGGGCAGGGCAGGCTGCAGCAAGGAGAAGGCAACGTTAGGGAAAAGAGAAGGCTTCCTGCTGAAGGAGTCCCTGCAACTGCCAAGAGTGTGCATTCCAACTAATGGCCAACTTAATACTTAGGTCAAAACAGAGGAAGACGACATAATGACAACTTATCTGCAAGGAATGGAAAGATCATTAATCTAACAAGGTGGAAAAAAGCTGTCATTCCAAAAGCCAATAAGACAACCACACTGCACTGCATTTCATCTGGAAGCAAGCATGCAAGCCAGTAAAACCACTGAAAGCATATACACAGTGACAGAGGATATATCAACAAGCAGCCACTAATGGAGTAAAGCAGTAACTTCACAAAGATTTTCATTATTTCATAAAGAATCTTCATCTTTGAAAGAAACAAGTAATTTCCTTGAGATGGATGCCACGAAAATAAATACAGAAATGAAAAAAATTAAAACCATGGAGGAAATTAAGACAAAAAAACAGCTTAGGTAAGGCTGGTACCAGTAACAGTTCTGATACTTCAGCTCAGAGTAGGTAAAGATGTTAAAGCTAAGCAGTTTGTCAGACTGATGTTTATAAGCCTGAAACAAAAAAGCTACTTCAGCTCCAGTTCTGAGCTGGTGTTATCTTGATAAATAATCTCCCAGGAAAAACACAATGATAACTCATCTTTCTTACAAAAATCATCAAATTAAGGAAAGCTCCGAGTCAGATTTTTGCCCATGAATAAAAGTTATTATTCTTCCAAAATCTTCCAATAAAGAGAAAGTAATGCATTTATGTCCAAATTAGAGACCTACCAATGAAAAGAATGAATCTGCTCTAAAACAGTATGCTGCACGGCATAATGTAATAATAAAAACAATCTTTAAAAGATGTGCCTTTCGAGGGCTACATTTAGAGCTAAGTTAATGCTTCATGCGAACAAGAAACGAGGAAGGATGTGTCTCGGCAGAAGTATGCACATGGGAAAGGTGGTTTCCACAGTGGAGGGATCTGGCTACGGGTTTTTTCCTTCAGGTAAATGGAGTCATGTTTCAGTGCATTCACAAAATACTGTTCACAATTTCTTGCAGGCATTTTGGAAAACATAAGGTAAAACCAGGGAAAATGAAGCACTCCCAATGTTGGGTAAATCTGGATCAAGCAGGAAACAACCACTGGTCCTGGATTTGACTTTTCTTCTCTTAAGTCAAATAGCATGAGACAAAGAATTAACCTACCACATCATTACTGTCATTTTTACTGGGTAGGCTGCTTCCACTGCTCAGGGTAGCTGCAGTCACCCAATTGCTCTTCTCTGCCAGCAGGGTTTTGCCAGTGCAAGCTTCATGACAGGGCTGGAACAGTCCAGGCATGTTGGCTTCTCCATAATCACAGGATTCAAAAGGCGGAATATTTTCTGCAACTCTTGCAGATCTCATGGGAGAAGAACTGGTCTTCTGGCTAATTATGTATTGTAAAGATTCACGTAACAAAGGCAGGTCTAAACTTCTGCCACACGGCCCGCTGGTTTGGGGGAGAGGTTGAGACACTGACTTGTCTGGGATCCGGCTGCACAGGGAGTGAGCGCATTCAGCAGGCATCAACACTTTTGACGTGTTCTGGTCTTTACCAGACTGAAATAAGCAGGCCAGGCACATCTGACAAGCCTGCTGGAGAAACATCAGCTCGGTGGGGTTTGCTGAGTTCCCGAGTGCCATCAGTGGTGACATGCCTGCTTCCCCTTCCCTGGTCTGCAGGTCAGAGCTCCCTTCCCTTAACTCCTGGGGACAGGACATCGCATCCGGAGCCAAACTCACAACAGAGTCACTGTGGCGACGAAAAGCACATGGAGCATCGCCTGCCATGTGCAGCAAGCGTGGGCTGCAACAGGAACACGGGGCAGCTGCGGCTTCTAAAGGGAACACTGCACTGTGCCTCTCAGCGGGATCACCTGAAGATTTGTGTTCCCTCACGTTTGTTTGTTCTTTCACCAGTAATTCCATTATCTGCTTTTGGTCAAGGTCACAACAGTGTGAAAGCCTGACTGGGCTACCAGTCCTCGATTTCGGAGCCTCAATAATGGAAGTACTTCGCCGTCTCTGTGCAATATTAAATCCAGAGCCAGAAAGGTAGTGAACGGATGTTTGACCTTTGTCACAATGGGGAGAAACATCACACCCAAGAAGGTCTTGAACAAGTGAAGGAGCAATAATGTGTGGCTATATTGACAGTGAATGAAAACAAACAAACGTCCTCAAATTTATGCACAAGCTTAAAAGCAATAAATTAAAAGCTGTAAAAACAGCTACACTGTTACTGCAGCTCAGTGAAAACAGACTGATGAAAAACTCTTTAATTGGGAAAAAAATAAAAAAGACAGCTGCTAGGAAAGCACACCTTAAAAACGGCACAATGAACTAGAAGTACGCTGTCTACTCAATGCACATTTTAGATCAACTAGAGACGTAAGTACTAAGCAAGTATACACTGCTACAAACAAGCGAGAATTATATAAAGCAAGCCCTGCAATCTACACCCACTGAAAACAGCATAAAAGCAGTCATTAAGTATGATCTAGGCTACAGCACAGCTTCGAGAAGCTTTAGACTTACTGCTGAGGGCTGCTGGTAGTGCCCCAGCTGCGGGAGGCTGTGGGGCAGCGCCTGGCCCTCGCTGAGAGGCGGGCTGTACACCCGCTGGATTGCGGGCGGCACGGCGTCGGGCACAGATGAGTAGATGACGCTTTGCTGGCTGCTCTGCGAGTCTGAATAAACAGTGGACCCCTGACCACTGTCGAATGTGCTGTCAGCTGAAAAAAGAATTACATTTCATTTATTTATTTATTTATTTATTTTGAGCTCAGCAACTTAAAGTGTTCAAGTAATGATTTCGGAGCAAGGTCAGCATTTGTTTATGTAATTTGAATTTTACTACCTTAGACCTTGCCATTCTAAAAACACGTTATACAACACAATTGTTATTTTCTACAAAGGGCACGTACTGCTCCTTCTAAGCCAAACCCCAAGAGTAATCCTCATGGATTTCTGTGCACAATGATATTTTAAGCACACTGATATTTCCTTTAAAGGGCGCGCGTATGGTTGATAGCAAGAATTGCAGACCTTCATGGATTTTCTAGGATAAAAGGATAGAAAACTCCCATTGTAATGTTCACAGCAGATTGTGGCATCCTGGAGTCAGTTCTTCTAGAGAAGCACTGATTTTAGCACCTTTTTGACCAGTGGCGTAGAAAAATACACAACCTTTTATATGCTTTGCATTAGCTCCTCAAATAACCACCAACTTGAGTATACAACGATACCTTGAGATGAAGAATAGGTAAAATAATTCCATTGGATTAGGGGAAAAACACACCATGAAGAAGTCACAGGAAAATGTACTATGGATTTTTTGACTGATGTATGTGACAGAAGGTAAAGCAGCATTATTTAAGCAAGCCTATAACATGATGCCCTGCATTAGGCAGCAGCAGCAGTAGGGCAGCTCTCACTGTAAGCAGGCTATGCGGCACTACAAGAACAGATGCTAGAGGAATTATAACCAAAATGCATCCTGATTTTGTAATCTGTAAGTGAAAAGCTTTTAGCCACCTGCGCATAAAAACAAAATCACAGAATGAAATGAAACAGCTACCTCAGTTCAGGTTTGTGATCATTTAAAAGATTAAAGGGCTCTACCAGTGTTTCTCATGCCAACGAACCAGCAGAATCACACAACCTGACACTGGGCAAGCATGGCATCTTCTACTGCAGAAAAATAAATCTTCTAACTGTACCACTGAGCATTACTGGTTTAAAAATATCTTTTTACAGTGTTTGAAGCCTGTGAAGTGCAGGTGCTCAGTATTTGTTCAGTATAAGCTACCAAATTTTTCATGAGAAGAATAACAAAAGACAATTGAGAAGGTAGCTGCAAGCACCCAAAAGGCAAAGAGCTTATAATAGAAATTTGAAACTCAAAGAGAGAACAGTTGTATAGTTAACAAAGAAGGCTTAAGTTACAGATGTGTTTAAATCATCTTTCCACTGTAAGGGGTAGGGATTTCTGCAGCATATACACTTTCACTTTATTACAAACAATTATTCAGGACACCAAGGAAATGAGAAGACTATGGCAGCATAGGATTAATTATTATAAAAGCCGTGAATCTCTTGGTTTTATGAAACAACATGCATTACAGTTCACATTATTAACTTACATTTTTACATCTGATCTCACATTGTTATTTGAATTGGTAGAAAAGTAATTTAGAGAGCTCTTAGGCACTAAGAAACTGTTGAAGACATTTGATAATACCAAATGTTAAAAGCTGAGGAGTAGTAAGTAAATAAAGAAAGAAATTTATATTTACTAAAAAATATTTCTAGTTAACCACCAACAGAACTGTGAGAAGCACAATGTCATTGCACCATCAGAAATAAGGAATAATAATCATCGTGCTCCTCAAAGGATTAGCATAAAGTAAGTACATTATCTAAAATAAATGAAATAAGATCAATATGACTTGAGAATAAGCTTTGTAATACTCCAATATTCTTGAGAATTATGCAAATACTGCATTTCTCACATCTGGTAAAGATTTGTTTTCTTGTAGAGGCGTGCTTGGTTGTTCTAGTATTCAAAGCAGGCCTCTGTATGGCAATTTATACAATGCCTGCATTAAAGCAGCAGCTGTCTCTTTGCTAAAGTACCTTGACTTTAAATATGCTTACATAGAAGTCTAGAACAGTAAAACAAAACCATCATAATAATAGTTCAGTAGCAAAATATGTACATCAGATTTTAACCAGAAAAAGTGGCTAAAAAAAACTCTCACAAAAATTCAAATATTCTAATCTAAAATTATCTGGCAATATTTCCTTCAAGATGTTTAAAGGTATAAATAAAGATTTCAGTAGCAGGCAGAACCTGACTTGCTAACAAAGACTGATTTTAGGGGACAGACAAGGCTGAGTTATTTTAGGCAATTATAAACACTGCTTCCTCGTGCCTTGCTGTTTGCTGGAGACAAGTCTGATGCTCAGAAGTGAAACGAAGAAACACAAGCTCTGCAAGGCCAGGTAGTTCCTTACTCCAAGACAGAACAAAACCAGTGCTTGGATTTATAACAGGAGGCATAAACCCACCTGTCTTGAAATAGCCCAGTGATTATTTTCAAACCAACCACCCTCTGAACATGGAGAAGGTAGACAAGCTCAGGATAAAACAGTGAGCCTGGATGGTCAGAGAAAGCACCTGCATGATAACTTAAAAACCCAATAAATGTTGTCAGCCCACAAGGTCTGATATTGTCAAACTAGTCCAAGTTTTTTCCCATAGAAAAGGGAAATCCTGAGTTACACCACATAACATTCAGTGAGCCTTTTTTCTCTGCTCTGGGTCACTGCACAGACTCACAAAACCACCATATAAGCCATCAAGAGTAACATGCAAACGCAAGCAGCTTCAACATCTTCAGGAAGACCTGGCTTTGGATAAACACCCCCACATGCAAACACCACTTGAAAAGGCGAACAATGAACACCACCAGCCACTGCAACCACCTTGGTGCCAGTTCAAGTTCTGCAATTGTTTCACACAAACTCAGTAGCAATTCCACCACCTGTTCCATTTGAAAACATATTTGTCTTTTCTGCATTTATTGCTACTGAAGGAGTTATCTTTAAACAGTACTTTTTCTTGAAACCATTTCTTTCGAGCCTTCTGCACTTGCCGGATTCACTTGATGCCTCTGAGCTAACACGCAAAACCTGCATGGCGTCCAGCTGCTGAGCTCATATACTTGTTCATTTTCATACTGGGACATTCATTATCATGCGTACACAAAGCAAACCTGAGACTTACATGCAACGGATGTGATGCTGGTGGGCAGGTTTTGCTGGAAGGGATGCTGGTCTGCCTCGGGTTCCTCCGACTCGGACAGGATGTGATGGCCCGTGTGGGAAAGGTATGTGACTTGAACCTGCTGTGGAGGCGGCGCCTTCGACTTCTCCAAGCACTCAGAATCTCGGCGTTCCTCCGACTGTATTCTAGGCCAAATTCTCTCTCTTCTCCACAGTATCAATGCTACTCTGTCACGTATTGACTTGGCAACTATCTTGAGATCGTTTTCATGAAAAAATCCAGAGTCAATCTACAGAAGAGGCACAAACTTAGCAAGGCCATGTGTGCACAGCGGTGCACAAGCAGAAACGCACTCGGGTTTTACTGGAATCACTTCCTTATAGAAAGCATTACTTTGAAGAAAAACCCAACATACTCATTGCTCACAAGAACAGGAATTCAAGAGCTTGATGGGCTGTTATTTATTCATTTATTGCGAGGGGGGTTTTTGCTTTTTGGGGGAATTAAAACTTCTTTCCCTAGTGCTTTTAAGAACAAGTAACTTTTATAAGACTTGACTACCTATCTGATTGATTTATTAGCCAGTTAATCTCCGATGATGAGAAGAGAATAAGCTTAATTGAAGTTGGTTTGTTTGGTTTTGTTTTGTTTTGTTACAACTAACAAAATAGTCAAAAGAAAAAAGCATCTTTGAAAAATGGTATTTTGACAACGCAATTGGAGTAAACCTCATTACCTCTACTCAGAATTTATTGCCTTAACCTTTCCAGCATACAGAGTTTCCCAAATTGGTGTGCTTGATAACACTGCAAGTCAATATTTTAACAGAATTTAGACACAAATTAACTTCTAAAACAAAGTCAGTATTGACTTACTTTCATAAAAGATTTTGGCTAAACTCAGACTGCTCACATTTGACTGAAAAGGGGAGCAACATTTCTCAGAATTCAACTCCTCAGAAGATAACATGGAAAATTTGTTTGTATGCTCTTTGCATGAACTTCCTCGTCAGACTCCTACTCTTTGTTAGCCTACTAATGAGCTGCCAGAGAATTGCACGTTAAAATCTGCATCTCCTGAAAGATGCATATTCGACCAATTTATCTACGTGAAGGAAGTCTAGAAGTTCTCATTTTGCTCTTGCCCAAAAACTACAGTTTTACAGCTTATATCTTTTTTATGTGTAAAATCAAATAGGTACAAAGGAGCTTAAAATACACTTTTACAAATGGTTGTGGTATTTTCCACTGCCAATGTGCTCAGACTTTACTGATGCTCCTGAACAGAGGATCTGCAAACTAATGGGTGCGAGTTACTGTATCAATGGACCAAACAGGTCCAGAGAGCCTTGCATGGCATTAACTAAGGGAAACAGTGGATTTTTCTTGGCAAAGCTTAACAGAAAGGAACTAAAAACCTGGCATATCAGCAAGTTTCTACATAACTCCTATTCTGACATCTCTACTTAGAGAATGATCACCATTTAATTAAGACATACTATTTCATCACACAACTGACTGTGAAACATGTTAGGTTCCAAACCCAGCAGCATGTTTGAAGTTTTTTGCCTACACCATTTGGACAAGCTTGGAATATCTGACTACTAAAAACCTATCAATAATGATAAATAATTCCCTGCACTCAAGAGATCTCCTGCATTTTTCACTACCATAGCACACAAAGCAACACGAACTGATGAAAATACATAAATTTGGTGTTTTGCACTTCATTTGGATTAGAAAAAAATATCTATGATTGCTTGTCCCTCTAACAGATTCAAGTTTGAAAGCAATTAATTAATTTGGGTATCACAGTAGTTAGATATCTTGGAAGCATACTTATACTATAAGAATTATTTCCCATGAAAAACAAAATATCACAAGCAGGGTAATCTATGGAAGTTCAGAACTCCAAATACTTCCATAGATATTTAAATACAGATGTAAAATACAACAGTAAGTAACTGTAGTAAAGCAACTTTTAAATGAAGTTCTGTAACAATATATTGGAAAATATATTGGACCTACTGCAAACAAGTAACAGGATGACAGAGGAGCTTGATTTTCTCATTATTTTTGGGATACATGAGATGATGACTCCAAGAATGGTAAGGTGACGTTAGCAAAGTGACTGCTTCCTAAGCAGGAGTGTTGATGACAACATCAATAAACAGGATCCTTTGGGATTTAGGATATAATAATAGGAACACAAGTGCAAGCACAAGAAAATGCAGACCCTTGCCTAAGAGCTTACTTGCTCTTTGCATTCATGACATTAAAAAACCTAAACTGCATTAGATATATTTCAATAGATTTCAGACAAATGTAAAGAGATCAACAGCTAAGATAAACTAGCAAATTAATTTTCAAAATATAGAGTAGAAGAGACTTCTTTGATCCTTGAGTGACTTGCTGTTTTGAAACAGCACTTCATGTATCTGATTCCACATCCTTTTTCAGTTTTTCAGTTTTCCTAGTTCACCCTTTTTGTTCTGGCATTCAATCTCAAGATCAATGCAAACTGCTTAATCTAGAACAGTTTAAACTGAAGTTCCTTTACCAGACTTGCTCCTGCTGTCCTTTGAGATTTATGCACTAATTATACATATATTTGCCAGGAGAAGTTTATTTTACCATTTCTTGTGCAACATCATCAGGAGTTTCCTTCTCCAGATCAAAAGTAAACTCAATGGCTCCATTATCTTTGGGTTTTCCTTTCAGTTTCTTAGGATCTTCTACCCAGAGTCTTAAGGCAATAGAGGATTTCCTACCATGGTCTTCTTCTGCAAGTTCCACCCTTACCCCAGTATCTTCAGCAAAAAAGGCATGGCTTAATAAGTCTTTAATTTCATATCTGCATTGGATATAAAGAACAGTCAAACACTGCAAGTCTTAAGGACATTCTGAGAAACTTGTGACAATAAATTGCTATTAGAGGCAAAAATTTACAGTTTTCTTCGTGCTTATCCATAACTAACTTGTATTCTTAGCAGAAAGAGGCAATATTTCTAGAGTTGCTGAGGATTGCTGTGTTTCCTATTTAACAAAGCTTCTACAATATTCATACATCTTAAACATACTCAGAAATGGAGATTACACCCTCCCTTCATGTTCCTTGAGTATCTGAGCTTAATGAGTTCTAAAACAAGGTTCCCTCTAGACAGTTACCTGAGGTTCCCAGGAACTACATTTCTGAAAGTCAAGATACACACAAGCAGACCAGGAGAGACCAGCATAGAAGAGTAGTTTCTAAAATCAAAGCTGAAAACAAGTCCACAACTTTGCTTTTTTACATAATTCTTTCAACTTGAGAGAAACACAGCAATTGAATTTATTCTATTATCTTCACATTATATGGCAGGAACATAACCATTTGTATTTCCATTCCACTCAGAGGAGACCCAGAATCTAGATTAGGAACCCACACAGTTCCAAAGTCTCTGCATATACATTAATTAAACAAGATTTGACTATGTGATACAAACCTTTCTTCCTTATTTTTGCAAATGCACTCCCCAATTATCTCCTTAATTTCAGGATCTGTAACTTTCTCAAAGCTTGCTGGCTTTATACCCTAAAACAATAGAGGAAAACAATTCAGTTTGAAAAGATATATATATACGTTCTATCTCTTAAGTAAGGATGCTTTTATATACTATGTAGTCAACTCAGCTACTTTGAAGAAGATAGTTTTAATTTAGTATCACTGCATTTTTAACACATTGGCTTGTACGTTACTCAGTCTTACATCACACACACGTCCTTTTTCTTTACAAACAACTGCAGACCTTACTTTTGCATTCTGTGGACTCTGAGGTCATTACTCAAGAAACAGACTTAATACTCAAACAACTAAAAAATTAAAGAAGAGTAATTGCGTTTTTCTTCAAATAAGCAGTTTCAAGAATGAGTTGAAAATACCTTCAAAGACCCATGCAGAAATTCAGATTTCTGTTTCCCATAAACCTCTTGTTTTTCTACATCCCCCAGTACTCTCAATCGCTCCTTTCCCCCACTCAAAACAATCTGAAACAAAGCAGGTTAGAGGGAGAGCATGCCCAACAGTCCTGTGTTGCTCTTGCATTTCCTAAGTATGTTGTCTGAATCTTACTGGAAACAAATGGAAGGACAGGCATAACCTATGAAGAAACTAAGTCGCATTTCCATCAAAAGCTAATTTCTTTTTTCCTGGGAATATGGCTCACTTCTAGATTTGAAAGTGTTAGCCTATGACCGTGTCATTTCAAGGAAAAAAGCCAACTGTTTTGTCACAGAAGAAATCTTACAGAAGCAGAACTACATTCTCCATGTAGGGAGATTTGGCTCTATGTAGATGTAAGAGGAACAATTTGTATTTCTTTCAGGTTAGGTGGGGCTGTTTTAAGAAGACAGAGAGGATTAGAAGAAACACATATACTTGTAGGGTAGTCAAAGGTCACTTTTCCCTACTCTCTAATATTTCAGGACAAATACCTTCACTCAGCAAGATCCTCCTCAGGGTATTGAGCCTCTGAATTACAAAAACACACATCTTACCAACATAAAGAGAGACTGCAGGAGAAGCAGTGTGCAAGTACTCAAACTAAATAGCAGCTTATATATCACGTCATCTCTGCACAATCAAAATGTACTGTAAAAATAATTAGCAAGGAGACCTGGGAAGTTAATGGACACGTCTAGCTGCGTGTTTTCAAAGCTCAGGCTGATGTTTTCCTGATGTGAGGTTGTGGACGGGGAAGAAGGGAGGCTCACTTCAGAAAACAGCAGCCACCCCTCTGTGCCCCTGCCCAGGCAGGAGGAACTACCAGACACCCACCTTTGGTAACATGCAACTCACCTCCATTCCCTTCAGCAGAAGTAGTCATTTACTGTGAATACTTTTCATCTCCACATTCAGTTACAGAGAGTAACAGTGCTAACACTAGAAGTTATCCTTTTTATTTCTGATGTTCAGCTTAAATTGGAAGCAAAAACTCATATTTGAAAATCTCATATACATCTACTAAATCAAGGTATGTATGGACAATAGTTCAGACATGAATTTTGAACGAGGTTTTGCAGTTAGACCCTATTACTTAAGGACTATTACTTGCAGTGAAGTCAATAAGCAGGGAAAAAAAACCAACAAGGAAACATGATTTCCTTTATCTTAATAAAGACAAAATCCAATTAGGCAAATGACTGAATGGGATTTAGACATTGAACTCCATTCAAACCCTTTTAAAGTTTCACCCTGAAAGGACAGTAACTGTGATTGTACAGCAGCAGGCAAAGAAGCCTGAAGCCCTGAGAAGGGCTCACCTATCCCTGTCTTCATTTAAAAGGATCAGCCCTTACTGAATTTGGTCTTGAAGAAATGCCAGGGATGAATTTTGGCAAGGGCTGGTATTTCCCTGTGTATTTCTGAATATTCAAACATCAGATTTTACTTTTACCTCTTTATTGGCATTCTGTTGCCACTTCAGCCTTAGATTTGAGTTTAAAATCAATTCATCTTCACTTCAGGTCAATCTTTACCTTTACACCTTAAAGTTCAGAAGAGTAAAATACGTAATGCATGAATTTTGAAAACCTCACAGAACAGCTGCAGGCTCTGCTTCCTGCTTCTGCCGAGCCACAGAGGTGGTGCCATAAGAAACTATCCTGAGAAGACTGACTGATAGAAGACAGCCAGTTTGCTACAGGAAACCATCTATTTCTGATGTTAATGACACTCATCAGGAAGAATGGACAATAAACATTGTAACGTACTAGAGCTTCATGTTTACTGAAAGACATCCCCCAAATGTACAAAGGTATCAATTTAACTGCAGGAAAAGAAAAAAAGAAAGCATTATAACTAAGAGGCAGAGACAGCTTCCACCACAGCACCTGAGGAGCTTTCAACCCTCTGGAGAAACACACTGCTCCTAGATGTGTGCTCACAGGAGCTGCCAATTGCTTTTTAAAATGGAAGTGTGCCTCATGGGTGTTTTGGCACAACTTGAGCTCATGAGAGGCAGGAACAGTATAAGGCAGGTCACTGTATGCCTCTTGGCTTAATTTTCCAGAATCCACAAACATCCCTTCATTTAAGTGGTCTGATGAACTCCAGCACGGCTAGGATGGAGCAGGGCAGGATGTGTTGGGCAGCTAGGAATTAGGTTTGTCTCAAAACGTTCTTTTGACAGACCTGTGATGTCTGACCCTGATTTTTTTACCTTACAAATCCCTTTCCTTCCTACAAATACCATTAAACTTTCCACTTCTTTTGAATCTGCCGAGCACCTAAGCTACAAATAAATGACTAAAACAAACGAGGACATAAGATGCACAGTGAAGTACTGCACAAAACTGCTTTTCCAAGGCGTTTTCTCAATGCTCATATGTTACAGGATGCTTCAGCTCCTTACTCTTCATTAAAATCTCCAAGGCCATCTCATTGTAATGCTGAAAATCCTCCCCGCAGCACTGTGCCCTAATGCTTACAAGCCTCCCAACAACGGAGGGGGTTGGTGTGAAACACAGGTTTCTAGTTGAAATCAAAGGATCCATCTCATTCATTTATTCAAAAGCCATCTGTCTCCCCTGAGCATTCCCAAGGAAACATGGCACCAAAATTCAAAATATACTAGCTAAGAAAAACTGCACAACTGTCTCAAACAGAAGTAAACTCAACATCCATACTTCTGAAATGGAGGGCTAATTAACTGACATAAGATGGATATGGAGAATTTCATGCAAGTTGTTTAAATACAAAAAAAAGAAATAAAACATACCAAGTCCAAGTCTAAGGATAATCTAAGCAGATTAATTGCAGATCTAAGAAAGTATCTGGAATACACAATTCAGTGATGTTCATAACACTGTCTGATAGGAATTTACCTCATCTGTATAAGCAATACGTAACCTACAAATACAGAGAAAACATTTGATATATTTAAAAAGGAAACAATATGAACATTTAACGAGCTAGACAGAACACTATAGGCATTTGGGTTGTTTTCAAGGGTGAGTTTATGTAGCTAAACCCAACAAGGTAGCCACGAACCCCTAGCAAACACAATTGGCCCACAGTGAATTCTGCAGAGCATCAGTAAAAAAACATTGGTCTGGAGCCTCATGGGAAGGTCACAGGCTCTGATGTTTCATCACTAAATATGCCCATTGTCTACATATAAATCTCTTGGCAGAATGATTAAACACGCAAAAAAAATAATCTGACTAAGAAAAACCATCAAGTTATGCATGAAAAATGAGATTATGGCATCAGAATGAAGGTCACTGCAAATATGCTGACCAGGAAATCTCTTCAAAATTAACTGTAGTAAACGTGGCCTTGACCTGTTGCTTGAAAAACACGTTACATATATCCTCCCACCACACGTAACTGAAATCAGCCAACAAAAGTTTTGCATTTATTATCTCTTGCCTCATTTACTTTGTTGGGTGCAATGCTGCAGTAAGACCTAGTGAGTACAAGATCTTTAACTGCAATTCCCATTTCTCATCGCAGACTCAAACAAGTTTTAGTTCCACTGTCTGTTATTTAGGATGTGACAAAAAACGTAAGAAATCATCAGGAGAGGACCAGAAGAAGGAGATCATTTAAGCATGTTCATTTACACAGCAGATCTCTGGCTGTATGGGTGGAGGGAATGGCTGTAACAACCACACCTGCTCGAGCACAGCAACAAGCCCCTCTGTACGTTTGGGAATCAGCTTGGAAGCGATTGTCGCATCACCCTGGACTATTATATACTTTCACTTGCACATACACAAATAAGAGCGGAAAATTAAAGCAGCGATTGAACTATGAATCTACAGGCAGGGAGCATAAAAGGTGAGCAAAATAAGAAGTATAATGATCTTTCAATATAAATACTTGTAATGTTTAATATCTTACAATAATAATGTTTACAAAAGGTATCTGTTCCCTGTATGAATATGGGTTACCAACGCATGTGACTTTATAAAAGCTATGACTTCAGATGTCCCTTGCAACCTGTTAGCGCACACAGATTTGATGCAGTGTTAGGATGCGGAGTGCAAGTGGTTGCAAATTCGAGCTAATGCACTGAGTGTGGGATGCGGAGGGAATGTGTGTCCCAGTGCAATCCAAGTCAGGTTGGAACAGGCAGAAGAACAAAGGAGTTACTGCACTTTTGTTGCAAGCAATCACCTGCATGATTCTACTATCAGCAAGCAATGCCATCAGCACCACCGGTGGTTGCCATTGAGATAGGCTGGTTTAGCAATAGGGATCAGTATGTTAGAGAGTTTTCTTCCTGGATGTCGGATGACACCACTGTGACACTCAGACCAAGGCAGGAACAGAGTTATTGTATTTTATATTCTAGAAAGAAAAGCATCAAGAAACAAACTTAAAAAATGTTTACTGTTCAGTCTCGGTTTAACAGAAAGAATAACGTTTACATTCCTGGTGCAAAGAAATTCAATCAAAAACAAAGTACATCTCCCACTGAGGGGTTGTGCTACACGCAGCATTCTGAAGCACTCCACTGCTGATCCTGCCCATGTGAGAATCTCAGCAACCCCTTCTGCCTTAGTGAGAAGCTCAAACTTTGGGTAGTCCTGGGAATAAAACTGTGTAATTCAGCCTCTCAATTTTCATCTATGCTCTCCTTCTATATCAATGCTAGTAATGGGTACAGCACGACAATGGCTACCCCATGAGAAGTGCTTGCACAATTCTCCCTTCAGGTGGTCCCCAGCCCAGCAGAGTGGGCAGAGCCAACTGCTGTGTGACAGCTCAGGCCACAGGCACAGCATGCTCCCCACACCCAGGTTTCTGCATCTGAGCACAGAGGCAGTGTCCCCCAGGCCCAGCAGCGAGCTGTGGCTGACTCACATGGCTCCAAGCGGGGTCCCCGTCTGCCGCCAGCTCTTCTGCAGGCACAGCTTCTGGCAGAAGCTGCTGAGCCCCCAGGAGCTGCTCCCTCTGGGACCAAGGACCTTCTGTGGGGCTCTGCTGCTCCTCTCGCACCCTTGCCTCAGAGGTCCTCCCCCTGCTCCTCCTCCATATCTGACAGTCCATGCAGCTCATGGCATGTGACAGGGCATTTTCCTCTCCACAGGGAGAGGTTAACTCTTTCCTTGTAATGGCAGCAATATCATTTTGTCCACCAAAGGAATCCTGAGGCCTCTGCTCCAGTTGCTCTTGTCTTGAGCTCAGCAGAAAAGAGCAGTACCAGTGTCTGCACCCAATGCGTGCTGCTTTGTCCTATTAGTCAGATCTAAAACACCTCTCTTACGAGCAAAGTGACCTTTTAAAACTTATCCGCAACAAACATTTTCTCTCTCTCTTAAGTTGCAAGAATAAGACCACTCTTACAAAGTTATAATTTACATATAACTCTGCTGTGTAAAGGCTATTGCAACAGAGAATGAGTTGGCTCAGACTTTCCTCAGAGTTTAAAAATGACTACTTAGGTCTGCAAATTGAAATGTAGTATCTAGTTAGGAATCCTCTGATTAATACTTACTCTTTACCATCTTGGATATTGTTTTGATAAATGAGGCTTATGAAGCCTTAATCAGCAATATTCCAGATGGCTAAGAGTTGTACACAAAGCTTTTCTAAGAATGCGGAGCATCAGAAGACACCTATATTGTTTGTGGCTCTAATCCTTTATGTCCATGCACAGGTGAGCTTACCATGAGCCAACCGCTAACAAATTTGGCATGCTGCTCACACAAACTCTCCTCAGAAAAACCATCACTAGATTGATGAGGCCAAAAGTGCACCCACTGCTACATTCAGGAGATGAGGCCCCCATGACCTAAAGCCAGAATACTGTTCTACTGTCATCACGTGAAGCATAGGGAGATCTTTCCTGAGATATACACAAAGATGGCATTTAGAGTAGATACTAAAGGACCACATACCTAAATTAAGCCAACAAGCCACGGTGCCAACAAAACAAACTTTTCCTTATAGGGGAGGAGTGAGCAGAACAGAAATACAATGCAAGCAGCTATCCTCATAAGGATTCAGGCAAGCAACTGCACCAAACATCAGCTGTATCCCACTTCTTTGAAAATATGTAGCACTCATTTCCAGCCAGCTCATACTGCAGAGCAGCAGGGCTTGCAGTCAGCAAACCTGATGACCCATCTTTTCCTCATTCCCTTCCCTACAGGGTTGGCCCAGCCATTAGTGCAGGAGCTAGCAATGAAGTTAACTGCACTGCAGAATAGCTTCTGATGTCTTTTTCACTTCCCTCTCTGAGTAGCAGTGGGTTGAAATCAGCACTCTAAGAAGGATTAAAGTAGCCAAAATCAGGGCCGCAGTCCATTGGGAAAGATTCAGCTTTGCCAAGATACAAATGTCAGCTTGCAACAATTTACATAGAAATGAGATAAAGCTGTTTCACTCTTCAGATGCATCTTTCTGCTTTCAGCACATCGTGACATCTCTTTCATTTCCAGCAGGGACACCCTCCTGTTTCTTGTGATAGTGACTTAAACTTTTAAACAGACTCCTGAATCATTTGCATCCTCCCTCTCCCATCAGGGTTAGTAATATCACAGCTGGTTAGCACAGCAATCCACAAGAGCACCAGATTCGGTCTTGATTTAACATCTTCATCAGTGACCTGGATGAAGGGACAGAACGCACCCTTGGGAATTTTGCTGGCAACACAAAGCTGAGAGGAGTGGCTGACACACCAGAAGGCTGTGCTGCCACTCAGCAAGACCTGGATAGGCTGAGAGCTGAGCAGAGGAAACTTGTGAGGTTCATCAAAGGCAAGTGCAGAGTCCTGCACCTGGGGAGGAACATGCATAGTACAGATTAGGGGCTGACCTACTGGACAGGAGTGCTGCAGAGAAAGACCTAACTTTCCAAATGACAATAGGTTGACCATGAACCAGCAATCTGCCCTTGTATCCAAGAAGGCCAATGGTATCTTGGGGTGCACTAAAAAGACCGTGGCCAGCAGGTCAAGGAAGGTGATCCTCCCCATCTACTCTGCCCTGGTGAGGCCCCATCTGGAGCACCGGGTCCAGCTCTGGGCTGCTCGGTTCAAGAAAGACAGGGAACTGCTGAGAGTGTCCAGTGGAGGACATCTCCCATATGAGGAAAGGCTGAGAAATCTGGGGCTGTTCAGCCTGCAGAAGAGAAGGCTGAGAGGGATCTTATCACAGTGCTTGTAAGTATCTACAAGGCAGGAGCCAAGTGCACTGGATCAGGCTCACTTTGGTGGTGCCCAGCAATAGGACAAGGAACAATGGGCACAAACTGGAACACAGGAAGTCCCATCTGAACATGAGGAAAAACTTCTTTTCTTCAAGAGTAATGAAGCACTGGAACAGGCTACATGGAGAGGCTGTGCAGGCTCCTTCTCCAGAGATATTAAAAACCCATCTGGAAGCTTTCCTGTACAGCCTGCTGTAGGGAATCTGCTTTAGCAGAGGGGTTGGACTACATGATCTCCAGAGGTCCATCCAATCCTTACAATTCTGTGACCACTTGGCAGACTGGTTCTCAGTGATATTAGCACAAAATATACCTAAGAACATTAAAATGCACATCATCTGCCACATGCAAATGTATGGGTATTGATGAAAGCATCTCTAAAAACCTGTGCAAGAGACTATCATTCACTAAGTCAGAAACTGCAATCTTGAGCTCAGGCAATTTTAACCAACCACAGTGCTTTATCAGACTTTATCTGTACCAGCATGATCCACTAAACTAAATGGAGAAGGCAAGTGGAATCAAATGCATTTCAAAATTGACCAGTTTTTATTTTTCATTTGTGAAGATTTTTGCTCTCTGCAAGCAGTGGAAAAAGAGAAACACTAATTTAGGACCGTGCTTCTGGCTGAGATGGATTCACTCACTACATCTACCATACTTTAAGTCTAACCAGTCCTCCTACCTTATAGGTGAAAAATATTATAACCACCTGAACTGTAGCTATTTTTGCAAATTGTAGCCTAGCCTACTTCAGAGAACTGTTCTTCACATCCTGAGTGTGCAGTCTGCATCTTTTGGTGATGGGAATGCACAAGGGCCAAGGCACATAGCTCATTGCGTCCTTTTGTAGAAACTGGAAGGAAAGAAGTACCTGGAAAAGCCTTTGACAAACCAGACTGTTTAGCATAACCTATGGGGCAGAAACTCCCATATTCTTGTTTTTACTTATCCAAGCAGAGCAGAAGATAACCACCACTGCCAAAGCATTTGGCAAGTCCCTTTTCTCTGCAGTCAGTGATTCCTCCACTGATTTGCAAGCTGACAGCATCTCCCAAACTCAGATTTTTCAAGCATTCACAGTGCAGCTCATGCAGACAAATATATTTGTCACATGGAGGTGAGGGTGCTGGGAAGGATACTTTTTTTTTCAGGATAGAAATCATTTTAGATTGGCTTCTTCTATGCCCCGATTTCACCTGCAAATGCAGCAAACCCATTTCCATGGTTCCAGTCTGGGAATTAACAGAGCTTGCAGAACAGATAAGCTCAGACATAAAGCTCCTCTGGCTCGTTCCCAAACTAAACATTGCCATATTTTCCCCTTTATATTTTCAGATAATTTATTACACATACAAGGTGCAAGAATCCGCGCTGGAAATCTGAATCAAACATCCTACACCACATAAATATTTAGTCTCCGATCTAAGAGTTAGGGCTTTGTTGGCTTGGTGGGAAACTTGATCAATTCTGACAACCCCTCTACAAGAAACAAGACAACAGCAGAGGTTCTTCCCTGCTCGTTTTCCCCAAGTCTCGCACACCTTCGGCTGAGTGAGACAAAATGGGCAAAGATTACTGAAAATACCACATGCAACTGCAGTGCAGGCAAACATAATTCAACACACAACTGCAAGCTCTTTGGAAAAGCCTGCAGCAGTTTCTGCAACTCAGAACTAAGACACCTCCATTTCTACAGCAAACTGCACACATAGGACAGCAATGACATCTCACACTGAACTACGCTTTTAAGCTTTCTGATCAGCAGATTCCAAATTACAGACATAACTGAAATTAAGGAAGTTTACTCACACAGGTTACTTTCCGGTAAATTTGAGCAGCATTCTGGCATTCTGAGTAGGGGTATTCTGAGGTAGCCATTTCCAACATGCACATTCCAAACGCATAGACATCAACGGATTCATCGTAGTGTTCCTCATACATTTCTGGGGCCATAAATTCTGGTGTACCTACACAAAAAAGATGGTAAATTATTCGTGAAGTCTGAAAGGTTTCCATCCCAGTCTTGTTCCGCCTACAGAAATGTGTCCATTGCAAATGTGCAAGGGAGCATGCGAGATTATTTCAAAACAGGGAAGTAACTAGAATAAGCTCAAGCATCCTCCAGGGAAGAAACCAAAAGTGTACACACACACATAGATCTCACTGATAGTATACACAGAGGGGGAAAACATACTGAAGTTTCAAAAGAGAATACCAAAATGAGATATGGCATGGTGCCTGAATACACTGAAAGCTACAAAATGGTTTCCTCCTCTGGATGAAGAGAGGGACACGCATAGAGGTCTGTGGTGGTGAAAAGGACCAAAGAAACAAGAAGCTTCGGTCTTGTTTTTGTCAATGCAAATTTGCATTTCTTCCTCCAGGGAGATGCGCAGCAACCACCAAGCTGATGAGACAGCACTTTGAAAGCAAGCGGTATCAGAAATTCATCTAGGAAGTCATGCACAAAGCATTAAACATGATTCTACCTCTGCTTCAATAGTACAGATCAGTGAGACTACTTGCAGAATAAGGTCCTACTCCAAAAGGGATTAGGGTGTCAGGAGACCAATAAAACTGGATAAATGAAGGGAAACATTGTACTTACTGCTTCATAACGGGAAGTTGCAGCGTTATGACAAGTACAACGCCTGCGAAAGTTCTCTTATACAGAAAAACGTGAATGAATGCAAAATGTTTCATCAACAACCTCAGAGTAACTCCTACGCTTCACACAGACTCAAGAGCAGCTCAGCCTTTGTCAAAAAAAAATCTCTGCACCAAAAAGGTGTGGTCTGGCAGAGCAAAATTAACACTTAGGTAATTCATTCCAGGAACTTTATCTCCTAAAGTAGTGCATGCTTGGGAGTCAAGAGCGATTTTTGTTTTCACGTACAGAAAAGATGAAGGAAGGAGATTAACACAGTTGTTTTCTTCGGGAGAGAGCAGTTCCAGTGAGCAGTAAACTGCCAAAAGGAAGGTGAGCAATCCCAGACCCATAACCTGGCCTTCAGCACAGCAGGATCTGCCTCAGCACCCACATCCCCTCTCCAGAGCCCTCCGCCAGCTGACATGCACTGGCAGCTCTGCTTTTTGGCAAGGACATCTCTACCATTGGCACAACTGTAATTAAACAACAGACATCAGGAGAAACACTTCTCAAATTTATATATGATTGGTGACTTGATTTAAGTTGTTGGTTGTTTTTTTTCCTAATGGTAGCATAAACTACGTCTCTCAAAATTAGGGTTTGTCTCTGAAACTGCTTTTGCATGCATCACAAAGTAGGCTGGGCCTAACTCACTAAACAAGCCTCAGTTCTGGCACTGCTGTAACATTCACAGAACTCTGCATCACTCTCTCCTTTTGTTGATGCTCCTTTCACCTTAAGGACATTCCTTCCTTCAGCCTTCATAAATCAGCTGGATCCCTGTCGTGAGAGCATAGCAGCCATGCTCTGAGTTCAGCTCTGACCCCAGGCCTTTTCTTCCAGCTTTCACAAAGGCTGTGGCTGCTGCTCTGAAATGGTTAACAGCTGTCAGAGCCTTTCCCAGAGATGCTACATTGTTTGAGAATGAACAAGACACAGACACAGAAGTGGATCTCATGAATTATGGAGCATTTAAAGTTCCTTGCACAACTGAAAAAATGATAGCAAGTAGTCTAAGAAGCAAATGATATTCTTGACACCATTCCAAATCACCATGAAAATGACATTTTCCACCCAACTCTTTGGGGCGGGAAGGAATACATGCAAGTACTCCTAACAAAGCAGACCATGGAAATGCGAAGGTGCTCAGCAGCTACTCAGCTGCACTCTGCAGCACAGGCTTGGCCCTGGCTGGCCTGCCTGAAGAGACACACCGCAAGGTCAGGCAAGCATCAGCGGTGGCACAAATGCAGCAAGGGAAAACCTGGACCTCAGCCACACTGACTTCATCATTAAAAATAATGTAGAATTGCAGCTACTAATATCCATTTAGAGCTACTCCGTCTAGGAAGATGAGGTGAGCAGTGAGGACAGCAGGGTGCACGCAGCTCTGGGACATGCAGCAGGATGGGGAAGCCAGACGCTGGGGCTGACACCTGTGGGATTCCCTCCCCACCCTGCCTTCTCTTCTTCAGCCTTCCCATTTCTCTGCCTGCACTCCCAAGCCTCAGCTTCCTGCTCTGGGACAGGGGGGAATTGCATTTTTTTCCTATCTGGATGTAAAGATGGGAGCTGGCCCAGCATCACCAGTATTTTTTTTTTACTTTACAAGGTGAGTGGTTAGGCCCTGGAACGGGCTGCCCAGGGAGGTTGTGGATGCCCCGTCCTTGGACGTGTTCAAGGCCAGGTTGGACGGGGTCCTGGGCAACCTGATCTGAATGTGTGTGTTTGGTGGCCCTGCTAGGCAGGGGGGTTGGAACTACATGATCCTTGAGGTCCCTTCCAACCCGGGTGATTCTGTGATTCTGTATTTGCAATCCCCCTAATTCTTTCCTTGGAGCAGCACAACTTGTGAAAAAGATTAATTTGGTTATTTTGCCAAAAAGAATACAGATAGCTAGCCAGCAACCCGCAGCCCTTTCCATCATTGAATTTGTTTGACACAACTATGGTCTGACAGTGCTGTTATAGGAATTCATTTTGCAAAAGCTAATATTGATATTTCTGATATTCCCAGCCCATGAGCAACTGTTACACTGCAAAATAAACTATGGGAAGGAATACTGCCCCTCAAAACAAAGAAATAAAAATACACTACTACAAAGTAAAAGCTAGAACAACTTAACAGATACAAACTAACATGATTTCACTGAAATCAGCAGCATTAAGGCATCCCACAGCAGCCAAGCCTATATCCACAGCATCAATCTTATGGCAACTTAAACAATATTGGGTTCTCAAAGTGTGAAGGCTGAAACTTGCACAGAAATCATACTAAATATAATCCCTAAATGTATGAGGCCCTATAATTACTTCGGCAACCACCGCTTTAAAGATAGCATGCCATTTTCATAGTTAGGAATAGTGGCTGTCACCAGCAGTCTGCTAATTCTAGTCATCTCAAATCTTATTTCCATTTACACAAGGAGCCAAATTATGACTGTGGGCACAGTAGCTTCCCTCACTTTCAGCATCCTTCCTCAAGGATTTGTAACTTTCTAGAACCATCACCTACAGACCTGAACAAGGCCAATTTGCTGAGAAAGATTAAGGTAAAAAAACAAAACAAAATGTTTGAGAACTCAGGGAAAGGATATCCCATTTGTGGTGTTCACACAGAAGGCATTAAATTTCACTTTTGCAAAGGAATGACCTCCTTGACACCATTCAGAACACATCCTCCCAGTTCAAGCAAAATCAAGCTCTGATACATTTCTACGTGGTACCCACATGAATCAGCTATTGTGTACCCTAGTGGGAATTTCCTTCAATTTTGTAGCTATTGATTTTTAATAAATTGCAGCTGTTTCAGTAGAACTCTGCCAGGATCAGGTTGGGGCACAGACAAGCTCTGCAGAAGCAATTTATTTTGCTGATGCCCGGTGACTGGGGATAAGCTGTTCCAGCCAGGGCAGCTCTCCTGTGACCTCCCTGCAAAGACAAGAAGCCTCCTTCTGCAGGGCACTGCTCTGAGGACAGGCTGCCAATGCCTTCAGCTGAAACAACTGTACTTATTCTCTCTCACTGGAAGCATAAGATTTCTCAGCACCACCTTGTTGGTGAGACAGCAAGGCAGCATGTGGCTTCCATCCCCCATCTCTTCTCTTTTCCCTCCCAAACAGGCACTGAGCCTGCTCTCAGGGGGATGAGATGCACAAGCTGTTGGGAACTGTTGCTGCTTCTCTTGGAAGAGAACAGAGAAGAATTTGTGGATGCAAAATAATATTTCAATTAAGAATTTACCATTGTAAAGGAAAGAGAAGGCCAAGGTAACATTTCCTAGATAGGCCTTACAGACGGACTTCTTTATAATGGTATGAAGGGAACAGTCACAAAACCACCTCAATCTCTACCACCAGCCAACACACAAAAAGCAAAACTACTGTGAAGTGTGAAGGGCAGACAAATTAAAAAGACAACCATCACACCAGCAGAAGGAAGCCAAAGAGAACAGACTGATTACCTATTACACTTTTGGCAAACGAAGCTCTCTTGAGGGTTGCCAGACCTAAATCTCCTATTTTCACAGATCCAGTTGGTCCAGTAATAAAAATATTGTCACATTTTAAGTCTCTGTGAATTATTGGTGGAGTTCTCGTGTGCAAGAAAAGAAGACCCTTCAGGATTTGCCGGCACCAACTACGCAGGACTTTTGGTTTCATCACTTTAAATCTCTTCAGATACCTACAGAACAAACAGGAAGAGAAGCTGGTTATAAAGAAAGCAAAGTGTTATTAAAGATTCTCGGGGCTTTAGCAGCTGAAGTTTATTTTTTATAAAAGCCCCTTATTAGATATCATAATAGCAGCTTAGAAACATCACCAAATTGGAAGAGATCTTTTTTAAAGGAGGAATTAGAGCATTCATTTGGGGGGAGGAAGATAATAAGCATTTTTGGTGCAAATACAACCAAATATTAGCAAGTCTAATAGCAAAGCAATTCACTCCATGCAGAGAACTGATTTAGAATATGTTTTATATCTCCAGAACAGAATAATACTGAAAATCAATTTTAGGCACAAGACTTTGGCCTCTGTATCATGCACCTACATTTTTACTATATGCCTAGAACACTGAGAAGGGGGAGGGTTCATTTTGGAAAAACATAAAAGCTGCCAATGCATTAGCAGAGCAGCACACTGGATATACTCAGTGATGAGCATTGCTCCCATTGGGGCTGAAAATCTGCTCCAGAATTCATGCCAACTGCTTTATATCAACCTTAACAAGATTGTCAGTAGCAAAGCTATTAATATTGTTTAGTAGATAACCTAGAGCATCTCCTGCTTCAAAAGGAGATGCTACCATTCGAGTGCTATTCTGGCTTTGATAACAAAACACACAAGCACAGGAGCAGAAGCAATCACAGAAACACACGCTGACAAATGGAAACGTCACAGGCACACAATGAAACAAGGCAGAGAACTGCTTCCAGTTACATAAGTGAAGCAGAAGATCGGGGAAGGGGAGACAGAGGCCGAAATTCTTCCTGTCAAGTCCATGCAGTCTAAGCACAGGGACGAATGACAGACACCAGAGAACAGCTCCATTTTTATCCTTTATCTCGAGGTGCCTTTTTTCAGTATGCAAAAGTAGGATTTTTCTAAAAATTTCCATAGCTATTCTTAGACTGCTCGCCAGGAGCACAGTACTTACGTCTTCAGTGTTCCAGAGGTCATCAGTTCGGTAACCAGCACGATGCACCTTTTTCCTTTTACACAGGATTCCCAGAAGTCATAAAACCTTACAATGTTTGGGTGCTGTAGACCTTTCAACATTTCTGCTTCTTCTTTAAATCTCTGTCTCTCTACTTTTGTTAATTTTCTGTCCTATAATCCAAAATAAAACACTATTAGTACGGAATGGACAGAAAACAAAGCCACCACGCTGCTACAACAGTCAGAATTCTTGTTATATGCTTGTATCAAGAACACTTACAAAATCTTTTACGTAACAGATGAGCAATGTGTATGAACTAGGGCACTCGCCTTAAACCCAGTGTCAAGAAGACAAAGACTTGCCTCAGAACAAAGAGCTGTCTGTGCTAAGCTACATGACAGCATTAATATTTCAGGCAACATAAACATACCAGTGTCCTGATGTATCAACACACGGCTATTTACTTCTTGTTTTTGTGAGGATCATTGTCTGAGAGATTAATAAACACAGAGTTTCACTTCCAGGTGTGCAACATCGTCAGTAGCAGAGCTACTGCCTCCCCTTACAGCCCTGAATACTGGACACAGTAAATGGCTGCACCTGTGAACACCTGGCAAGGGCTTCCAGGTGGGGTCCCTTGAGTAACCCCACTGCCTGTGCAGCTCCTTCTGTCTCTCCAGGGATGAATTAAGACAATACCGCCTCAAAAAACAAAACAAAACTAAACATTTTTTTCCTATTCGCTTTGCTTGCAGCCCTGCTTAATTTCAGAGCTCTCTTTAAAACTGACAAAAATTGACTCAAAAATTCTTCTTCACAGTTTTCTTTGGCTGCATGGCTACACTTATAATTTTAGCTCAGAAGCGTGAGCGATGCCACGTTCTATTACTCCATTTTTTCCCTGAAGAAATCTGGGAGCATTTACTGCAGGCCATAAAGCATAAGTTTAAGCAGCACTGAAGCCCAAGAAAAGCTGCTTTCCTTCAAGAGCTCCTGGTGCCAGAAACAGCCACATGCAACTCAGAGACATCAACCAAGTCCCCCCCAGTGCCATGTTTCTCAGCCCATTCTGCAGGCTCAGCACAGGAGGGCTGCAGGGGCAGATATCCCAAGTGATGCTGCCTGGCCAGCAGAAGCCTTCCTGCTCTAATTAGCACCACCCAACCTGACAGCAGGCACCTTACTCTACACCTGGCCCCTACAGAGGTGTTTCACCTGGGGCCATGCAGCCACTTGGCTCATGTCCCGCGGACAGCAGAATGTGCCGGGAGCAATGCAGTCCAAAACTGCCCTAGAAATGAAGCGTTTTAGTTCTCTAAAAGGCACAATTGTGTAACTGTTCTTACTTACAGGAATGCGGGCTCACAAATCACTGAAATTAATTAGTTCATATAGTAACCTCGGACTTTCTCTTTTTCCCAGTTAACCGGGGATGTTTGCAGCAGCGCACACTTAGCAAATTAAATTGGCAGCCCACTCGTTTGTAACCGAGATCCAGAGCGGCAAGGTCACTGCCATTTTTGATGCAGCCTGCCCTCAGCTGTGATTCCAGAGAGCTCAATGCAGCCATGAGAATTCACAGGGCTGCAAACAAGCTGGCTTTGCACTGAGATCTCACTCAGAAAAGCCTGGGTGGCAATGATGATGTTTTATCTGGGCTTGGAAGACAAAAGGCTGCTGCTCCACAGGCACAGGGCAGTATTGCCCTTGGAGAACCCAAGGACCTGGCCCCATCACCAGGGCAGAGGGGAGCACCCGGTCCAGCAGCTCTTGGCACACTGCAGCTCCTGCTGCATCGGGCTTCCTGCATTCTCTGTATTAAAAAATAATAACAAAAAGGTTGCCTAATGAGCCAGCACAAGAGAGCCTGAGAATTGCTTTCAAATCCATCACTCCTTCCCCTACTGCTGAGTTTCCTCTTAATTTAAGCCCTGTAGGATAAATCAGGCACCGCTGTTAGGGAGGAAAAGGAACGAGCCCTTGTGTGAGACAGGAAGAGCTCAGCCAGGGCCAGCAGGGAAAGGGAAAGAAAGCAACGCAGATCTAGCAAATTTTGAACAGCCTTCTAATTAAATGAAGTGATACTGAACCCCTCAACTCTTGTTTCCAGATTTCTGAGGACTGGGAGAAATTTTCCACCGCTACATTATGGACGACACCTAAAATACACTCTTCAGACTTTACAGACCACCATAGTTTATATATTCTACACACTAGGAGCATTTAGACTGGCAACAGAATATAAAGTACTTAAACACAAGCTGAGCAACAAAGTGATTTTGGAAGACATATTTTCTATATAGCTACAGGTTTGTTATATTTCCCCAGTCAAAAACCAGCTGAGCTCACACTCCTCAGGAGGCAGCCTGGGCCCATTTCTAACACAGAGGAGGGCAGGATGAGGCTGTGGGCACAGCAGCTGCATGGGCACAAGGGTGTCCCCAGCACAGAGGTGCTGTAAGGGCATGAACCAAGCTCTGCAAATTCCATGAGGCTCAGCCTGACATGAGCTGTTTGGCAAAACATAAGCTGTTCCTGAAAGGGCTTAGCAGTTCAACCGCTTGCTACTCTGGAGCAGCAAAACCTGAAGGACTCACTCAGCATTTTGTCCAAATCCAAAAGCCTTCGAAGGAATCACTGACCCTTACTCCCTGTCATTCGGCCCCCCCTAAAGTGGAATGATTTTGTGCTGGACACAAGTCAGAAACAACTTTAGGACAACCAGTTTTAAGATGGCAACAGGAAAGGCCACGCCAAAGATACAAACCCACAGAGCTGGATGTAAGGCATCATCATGCATAATCCAAACTCAAAATCTGTGAAAACTTGGGGGAGTGAAGAGAGTTTCCAGATTCACCCACTGAGTCACCAATAGTCACGCTGCCTGCATGGAGAAGGTTTGCAGCCCCACGCAGCCAAACACGCGGCTCTCGGGAATGCCGCTGTAACACAGCACACCTCCACTCAACAAGCTCTGCTTGGAGCTGCCCTGCAAGTTCGTGGTCGGTCTGCTGCACCACACTGATGGCACTGCTTCTATTCTGATCTTCCTCGAGACACGAGACTTGAACAGAAAATTGGAAGATGTTTTTAGTGCGATCTGAGAGATATCAGCTGGCAGATACCCGCGCACTTTGTCTCCTTTTAAGGTACCCCAGCTGCTCGACTCTTTCGCCCTCATGGGGACGCAGCCTTGGCTCAGGAAGCTGCATTGTACTCCCATTTAAAATAACCAAAGGTTTCTAAGTCTACTACATAGCACCAAGGTTTCTAAAATAAACTTCAACCTTCGAAAGTGATCACACTGAGCTGGTTTGGCCCTTCCAGACTAACTGGCTTCAAACAGAACCAGGCACAAAGCAAGCCAGCTGCTCAGTCTGCACTACCCCTAAGAAGGAATCTCTGAATTTAACCTGTTCTTCCATCTTAATAAAGATAGAAGTTCCTGTGAGGAACAGTCAGCTTAGAAGGATTCAGCCAAGATTTGTCTACTGCAGAACTAGAGCAACAGTGAGACCAGATAAAAGCAGCTTTCTCACAGAGCTGCATCAATTTTGCACATACACACACAATACAAACTCTCATGTTCAGCCTGTTATTTTACTGCAGTGACATAATCAAAAGCAGACCTAGCAGCATGGAAAGCACTAAGATATAAGAACAAATTCACTCTTGTGAGCAGACAGAGGATTGCACCCACAGGATTGTTAGAAAACTCATTCTCAAGTGCAGCACTGTCAAACCATGGTCAGCTGCCTTAGCTGTGTTTAGAATTTCCCATTTTGTTATTACAACTGTTTTGAGCTCCTGCAATTACCTATTTACTGTGTGCTCCTGGAGGAGCACGGCACAGCAGTGTGCATGGCTGGTGCAGGCAGGCTCAGCATCAGCAGGTGCACAGGCACTGCATCAGCAGGTGCACAGGCACAGCCCAGTCACACATGCAGCCAGGCTGTTCATGCCTCCGTAATTTAACCTTTCACATAAATAAACAGGCATTAATTGGCTTGGAGCTATACAATGTATCCTTCACTATGAAAGGCAGTCCGTAGCAGACAGATAGATAATAAGTATTAAAAAAAGGCTATAAATTGTAAGCCACCTTCTCAACGTTAATTTTCTTAGCGTTCAAATTCTTCCTGCTGCAAACCATACGATAACTGCACGGGCAGCCTTAAGCATCAGACTACTGAAAGCTATTCCCTTCTTTTTGGAGGAACAAACCAACTCCCAATTAGTACTGCATATCATTGTTCTTGGTAAATTACATATCAATTCACGGAGACTTGAGGAACGTGGTGTTTGTAGCAGGATGATGCATACAACTAAATTTCCTATTTGTTACTCATATTTCTACTAACCAGCCACCACCCAAGCATACGTGCTCTGTGCTTCTCCCTGTTCTTTCCAGGCAGGGCTACCAAAGCCTTCTCTTTGTTAATATAAAATCTAGCCCTTTATTAATTTCCTTGGTGAAGTATGCTAGCGAAAACTGGCATTAGTACATAAATGTGTTAATAAAATCAAAGAGAAGGCTATGAATTACGTTTCTGGAATGACACCCAAATTAACAGCAGGAACATGTTCTGTTAGTCATCCCCAAGCATAATTTCCTCCTGGCTGTAACATATGGGCTCTGACTAACTCTTTGAAAGTTATACAAGCAGGAGGCCAGCTTTCACCTGAGCTTGTAGAATATTCCTAAGAAAGATTAAGAAGTCAAGATTTCTTGCCTCCTACCTGTGAGAGGGTGACAGATTTGGGAATGAACAGTATTATCAACCAGTAAAGAAATGACATGAAATGGAAGAAAAATTAAGATTATACCAAGTTTTCCTTTGACACAGTAACGCCTAATGATGGTTAGAATTACAGAGCTGTACTTACTGCTAGCTATTTGTTTTTGCCTAACCAAACCAAGTCCACAGGTTGGAACATACTTCAGTCAGCCTGGTGAAACAGAGGTGAGCCAGGAGCAGCAGGCCAGAAGACAAGGGTGGATCTCACCTCAGCGCACACTTCACTACATCAGCTGTGCTCCTGTTTAGGGCTGTTTGCATCTTTTATCCAGGCTAGCAATGAAGAAAAGAAAACTGAAGAGGCACTTAAAATGTGGGAATAGAAATCAGATAGCTAAATCAGCAGAATGAACATCTGTTTCAGACTGTTT